TTGTAAAAAAGTGTAACAAATTTTTGTCTTTTGATGTAATTACTCTACTGTTTGGCCTAGTTTTTATTCTGAGAACGAGCCTGAACAACATTTTTTTTTGCCATGAAAGACACACTTCTTTTATATGTGTTGTGTCAGGTGTTGCCTTACCCGCTCATTTGTTTTGATTACACAATTATTTTGGGCTTCTATTACAATAATAAGATAGCACAACTCAGTTTCACACATCAGTCATCATCACTCACACTACAGAACATAAAATATTCTCTTTATTACATTGTGTTGTGCCTGTGAAGATGGAATTCTTTTGACAAGGTGAGTTTCATTTTGTTTACTTTTTGACTCTGTATATAGACCTTTTTCCATGGAGTATTACATAAAAAACTATGGCATATTTTGCATTGAAATTTACAGAGCACACAAATAGAGGTTTGAACAACATATGCACCAAATTTGGGTATGATTTGTTAAAATTTAGTAATTTTTTCAATTTTTCAAAAAGTGGTAAAAATCTCAAGGGAGAGCTGACAACCCGGAAGTGTAGGCCTAGGGTTGAGTGAGTTAAAAATCTTTATGAATTAGAAAAAAAAACAGTATCCTTAAAACCACGCGACTTAGATGCCTCTGAACTACAACTTCAAAATGTGCAACATGTATTAAGAATTTTCCATGAAAAGGTTATTGCTGGGCTGGCACTGCAAGGGTGTTATGCCACTGCAGAGTTCATTCAGTTTGTTCTAAACTGGTGGAATACTGTAAATGTATCTGCCAAGGGACAGGACATTCGTACAAAGGACCCACACAGAGCTGCTCTGGGGTTATCGTCTGATAGTCTGGACACGTATGCCAAGAAGTTTGAAGAAGCAATTTCAGGACAGGGAGTGTCTCCAAAGGAATGCCTCACCCACGACACCAAGAAAGCTCTGGTACAAACCATGCGTGGACTCAGTGCCGTGACAAAACAATTATTGTCATCAGGATTTCAATATTATGTGCTGCTGTGTGAAATACAGAGCGATCCCATTGAAGGTGAATTTTCCGTTTACAGGCAGTCCACCAGGGCCAACGCGTTCATGACAGCAGGAGATGTTATCTCGGCATGCAAGAAGCGCTTCGCAAGGCATGCAGCATCTTTTCTCGAGAGTATTGATGTCACAGCAGATGATTCCCCATCAACCTGTGACAAACATCTGTGTTGTGGGCCTTTGGTTATTGCTGATGGAGAAGCCATTGAGAGCAGCATCTCAGATGTTACTCTGACAGCCAACGAAGAAAGCTGCTGTGCCTAGGTAGCAGGATGGCTGGAGAGAAAATGTATTGATCACATCACCTTTTTTGCTATGATGAGCCATTCGTCTCCACAGAAGTGAAGAACTTTTTAGAGGAAGTATCCAAAGGCTCCCTTAACACCCCCCATATGTCTACATATGAACTGACTAGGATTGGACTTTCCTTCGTAAAGAAAGCAAAAAATAGAGTTTGTTGTCGTCAGAGACTTGTTGGAATTCTATCAACCATGGGGGAATTTAACAACTTTGACTGACAGTCCAAGAAACTGCTCCGTCATCTCACAAATGTATTACTCCGTGGTCTGCATAATCTAGAGAAGGATCACCAAAAGAATGCAGCCCTGCTACCGACATCCATCAAGAAGGCACGTATGGTGGATTGACTTGGTGAGTATGCCTTATTCTTGTTGTATTTGTTAACATTTTTTAATGCTTTTCATATTAATATTTCTGCATGACATAACAAAAATATAGAAATAACATGTACTACTATGCTACAATATTGCATTCAACAACATTACAACCTGTTTTAGCTTTCTCACACTTAATATAAAATGTATCTTGAGCATAGTGATAAGTAGGACATGTCTATATGATGGCCTTCGCCAGCCAAGTCAGGAATCCGACGGTGCACGTCCTTGAGTATAGTAGTCCTTGCCCTTAAGTTATTTACATTTAAATACTGACCTCTGTCATGTATCAATCAACACATTTTGCCGTGTTTACCGTCATTTTGCCGTGTTTGCGCATGCGCAAAGAAACAACCTCCAAACGCATGCCGTGTTTCCGCATGCCCATTTATTCCGCCACTGATTTTGAACGAGACAACACAAGTTCAGTGTGTTTCTTGCATTCGACAAGGTGTCAAAAGGCCACATGCAGTTCCTGCTACTCTCAACTATTACAAAACCTTGCCATGTTTTACAAAAACTATGACAGTGCTATAGCATTTCTCTGAGTTCACGGTGTTCTACCAAAGGAAGCTGTGTGCCGTAAGTGCCAGCACCAAGGCACTTTTAGGGAAAAAGACCACATTTGGAGGTGCAGGGTAAGTGTAATCATTCCAAAGACTAAAAAGAGGAGGTAGGCCTACTGTGACTGCAGTGTTTCGCATTACAAAGGGAGTTTTCAGCCTTCATGTCACTTCGCTCCCTAGAAAGTAGTGCTTTTTGCTAATCCCCTCTCAAGCCACAGCTGGGATCACAAGACTTTGTACAAGTGTCTGGGTCTGTCACTGAACACGACAGGGGACTGGCGCTCGCTTTGTTGTGAGATGACAAAGGAGTAGTTTTCTACGCAGGAGGCAATAAATGGACCGGGTGTGGTGGTGGAAGTGGATGAGACTCTGATAGTTTGTAGGAAATACGAGAGGAGCCGTGTGCTCAACCAAGTATGGTTGTTTCGAGGGATAGAGCGCACCGCCAAGTGACAGTTTGTCATCCCCCTTATATACCAGAAACGTTGGTGAGAGGAGGGACAGGGCTACCCTTGTACCGCTCATAAACCAATTCATTCTCCCAGGGAGCGTTATATATTCTGACACTTGGGGGGGGGGGGGGCATATTATTCCCTCGGAGAACCCGGCTACAAACACCAGGTGATTAATCACTCAGAGAGTTTTGTGGACCAAGACAATCCACAGATCAAAACACAAAATGTTGAGAAACTGTGAAGGAATATTTAGGAGAGGGTGAAGAAGCCAGGTATTTGCACCCAGTACCCCACGAGGTACCTGTATGTCACATCCACTCCCGAAAGTCAGCTCCTTCATCACTTTTTTTTGTGGAGGCAGGGAAGCTGTATCCTCCCTCCTCCTCCCCCCCCCCCTTCCAGAAGTGTTGTCAGATGACGAATAAGGTCAGGGGGGGGGGGGTTTGTTAAGGCTTTTAGGCTTTTCTGTTTGTTTATGCATGCTTCTATAGTCTTAAGGGGGGGTCGATGAGCAATTACGGGGGGGAGGGGGGGGGGGTCCATTTGTGACATTATTTAATGCCAAAATCATGTTCAGGGCCTTTAAAAAAAACAACTAAAAAACTACAAAATAACACCCTTTATGAGACAGGAGTGATTCTATAAAATTACCGAAAAAAGAGCCAGGATATCAGCAAAATATTAGAGAAACCATGATTATTCATAGTTTCAAAGCTTATGTTTCAGTATTCCTTTCACTAGCATTAATTTTAATTAAGAAAGTCGCAACTGGAATGTAAGGCATCATGGTGAAATCAGGCGATTGTCAAAATAACGTTCAAAGAAACCGGCATTTTTCTGGCCACTGGGCAATTTTCATAAAATTTTCTTTTTTTTTTTGCTCAACACCTTTTGTCCACTTAAAAAACACCTTTCTGTGCGGATTTTATTGAAAAACATTAATTAATGGCACTAAAAAGGTAAATTTGCACTTTCTAAGGACTCTCAAGCTTTGGAAGTCGCCATACTTTGGCAGCCATTTTCTCGTCAGTTTTACCTCTAAATCCAGGTGACCCCCCACCCCCATCAATCGTAAATATCTCGACTTCTACTCAAGGTAGATGGGTAGGGGGTTTTCATCGAAAGCAAGACAAATGAACAAGCTTTAAGATTATGCCAATAACTCCTCATGCCCAAAAATTGACAAGCACCTGATTCCAACGCATCCTTACAAAAATGAATCTAACAACTTGAAAATTTCACACACATCATAGCCACAACACAACTGCCACTCAAACATGTCCCTGGCCCTTTTCCATGTTCAGATTACAGATTCAAGAACTAATTACAATAGCTTAACGGAGAACATTTCAGTCCTTCAAAAAAAAAAGGGCGAAGAGAAATACATTTTTGCTGTGTATCTCCATTCAGGTGGTGAGATGAGGAGATGCAATCTTCCCCCCTTTCCCAAGCACCAATAGAAAGACCCATAATCACACAAAAACATTAGAATAAGAGAACACTTGTGGGCTGAGAGGTTCTCGTGGTTGTCATCGGTAACAGTGCACCAGCAGGTGAGAAAGAATGGGTAAAAACCTATGTGTTTAAAACGCCCACTTAATTAAGCACAATGCAGTTTCGTAAACTAAATCAAAACAGGAGTATCGATATAGAGGTATAGACGTTTTCACACCCCCATCAACCCAATTTAGACTATATAGGAAGCTGGTTTCAACCCTGCCTGTCAGAACCAACCGGAGTAGAAAGGAATACAACATCCTAGCAGAAAGACAGAGATATGGTACTCAATAAAAAATTCTCCCCACTTGGGAATCAAACTCAGGTCTCCTATGCACAAAGTTGAAGCACATCATCGCTAAACAAGACGTCGGTTGAATAACAATGACCTCTCAATGAGTAGAGACATACAGTCTGGATATTCAAGATTACAGTTCCCCAAAGTGAAAAAGAAGTAAATAAAAATAAAAAGAAGTTCTTCATTAAGTTTGATGACAAAAGGACTTGAGCACTCCAAGATTTCAAATATGATATTTCAAGTCAATCCTGGAACCTAAGGCTGGTGAACAGAGGACACCTACATAAATAACGACTAGTGCAGCTAAGGTCAACTAAAATAACATTTCAAAAAACATAAAAATTCACGACAACAAGTACAAACTGAACGGAATCATCATTCTTACTAATAATACAGATATTATTCAACTCATCTTGTACTAACCAATCCCTCCCCCCCCCCCTCCCCCTCTCTAAATTTGAAACTTCACATCAAACATTTTTTTCTTTACTAAATATTGTTTTGACATGCTCTATTTTTACCTTACTTAATCCCCTTTAAAAAAAAATATATTAAAAAAATATTTTGAACTGAGGTTTCATTTGCCTAATTAAGAGCCTGCTCACTTTAGAAAGTGAAATGACTTCATTAACACACTAATCACTAAGACAAAACTAAACCAAGCACTCCCTGGTTCACAAAAACACAAAAGCTAAAAAATCATTTACACAGCATTACAGCATCAACACATCAAATTATATCATAGCAGTGCTTAATTTCTTGACTTGCAAAGGAAAAGAACATTTTCCATCGTAATAATAATAATAAAGGAGAACCATGATCTGCGATGTCTGTCACAGATGTGGCACATAATGATGATAACAATGAATACCCATGGTGCAGAGTAGCCTATTTTCATTGCCACCAAACAGATCTAACTTTGACGATAACACTTGACCACCAACCTTGCCTGATTACGGCCTGGTAGTTCTTTTTCCAATTCCAGCTGCTCTAGCATGGAGACAATCAACCAAACCCCCTTCCTCTTCCCCATAACAACAACTGTACCCCGGCCATCTTCTTTCATGTCCCCTGCCATCAACATACAGAAAAAATATGAAACAAAAGCAAAATATTGTCTCAAACTCACAGTGGATAAAAAGGGAGGGGCAGTCAAAACTCTGATTAAAGCAGGTACAGCAGATGACATTGTTCAAAAGAAAGTGATGTACCGTGTTTCATTTTGACAGTGAAGAGTCAGACTTGCTATGGATCCACTCCACACATCTGACACAGATGAGTGACCCAGAAGTTCCTCTTGATCAACTGGAAAAACAGAAGGGCAGCAACGTATTATCTGAAATTACAGTACACCTCCGTTTATCCTGTAATGGTCAAGATGACAAGCCCAATCACAATTCTCCTAGCTATAAAATGCAGGTGTTTTATACCCCCATTGACATAATTTACATCATTTAAGAGGCGGACTTCAACCCTGCCTGTTAAAGAAAACCAAGGCTGTAAGGGATACAACGTCCACCAGACAGACCAAAATACTCGATAAAAATTATCTCCCCACAAGAATCAAACTTGTTTTTCCTCATGCAATGGTGAAGCACCTAACCTCTGCACAACTGACACCGATATGTCTGGGGACAAGCCATAGCCAGAAGTCAGAAATGTAAGCAAAGATCAGTCCCTGAGACGAGCAGCGAACCATTAACTCTGAATTTGAACAGTAAAGGCTAATGACGGGACTCACATTCTAGTACCCATACACAGGAGTTCCATTAGATTTCTGCAGGTTTCTAATCAATGTCTGGAAAAGAAGCTGTCATCAGAAGCCAAAGATGTCACAAACACATTCAAACACTTTTACGCTTCTTCCATGTCCTCTCCAACACCAAGTTCTGAAGTATCCACACTGTCATGCAGCACTACATACTCTCGAGTGCTGAAACCAAATTTTATCACATCTTTCTCTTTCAGTTCGTAATATCGTTTGGCTTCTATCTTTTCTCCATTGACATAAGTGCCGTTTGCCGACTCAAGGTCTATGATGTATGGCCTGACTCTACGACCTGACGAGCCATCAGGTCTGGTGTACGGCATGGCTCGAAACTGAAGAGCAGCTTGCTGCTTGGAACAAGACGGGTGGTCTACAGGAATGTCCGCTATTCGACGGTCACGACCGAGCAAGAACGCACTTTGCCTATGAATGTGCAGGACTGGCAATGATGTCTCTCCCTTAAAAGGGTACAGTCGCCACTTACGTTTCGGCATCATAGCCTCTGGTGGTTCATTGTACTTGATGACTACTCCCCTAAAGGTGTTTGTATCCTCTGTCAGCTTGCCAGAAAGTTCAAAGTTCGGTTTCTGTTTCTCCTCTTCTGTTTTGTCCTCCTCCCCTTCCTCTGTTTTCACTTTTGTCTCTGTATTCATTCCGAAATCTCCACCCTGGCGGTCTCTGTCCCTCCGGTTCTCCCTCCGCTGGTGGTCATGCTGAGATCTTTCCCTCTGCTGTTGACTGAAATTCTCCTCGTCCTTCTCTTGTTTAATTTTCCTGTCCGGGTCGTAATCTCTATCTCTGTGGTGGTGCTGCTTTTTATGACGCCGGGATCGTCTGTCGTCTTCCTCATCGCTGGAGTTGTGTCTGCCAGACTTCTCTTTCTCGTGGTGATGTTTGTGGTGCTTTTTACTCCGACTTTCATTGTCAGATGGACTTGCCCCCCGGTGACGTTTGTGGTGTTTCTGGCAACAGAAAAAAAAAGTGGTATTCATTTAGAAACGTTAGGTAAAGAGATCTAAAAAAAAAAAAAAGATTTTTGAAAAAAAAAGTTTCACAGATTTATTTTGATAGCTTTTTTTTTCAATATTTTAAATACAGGGCCCATTTTAGGAAACATAATTGCTGTTTAAAACTAAAATGACAATACCAAAAAAACCTTTTCAGTATGATAAGAGGGCCATCCTGTAGCCTGTACAGGAAAATGAACAAAATGAAACTGCACCTCAGATATAAGTGAACTTGTCTCCTGGCAGCACTACCCTCAGAATCTAGAATGAGAACACTCACTTTGAAGAAATATTTTAAGAACACCTATGTGATACCCCATATCCAAATCCACATTCTCCAAACATTCACTAAACAGAAGTAAACAATTCAGTGCTGGTCCACTTGGCGTATGCAGTAATGTGGTCTACAATAGGCATGCAAGGGGTTATTTAATACACTATCACTCTCACACCCTGATGCATTACTTTCAAGAAATGGGGGGGGGGGGGCAGAAAACATTTTACTATCCTTTTCAAGACCAAATTATTTTTAGTACAGCCATTGACAGTCCCAAGCCTGTACACACGCAGGGGGAAAATGTAAAGTATTGTGGACTGTAATAGACTAGACTGACTATCAAGTGAAATAGTTGTTAGACTATCTGGTGGTAAATTATCAAGAAGAACAGTAAGAAACATCACGATAGGACGTGAAGTACCGAAACTGAAAGTAAGTACGAAGGAAAAGTGTGACCAAATATCCAAGTTCTTGCAAGCATCTGCCAGTCCTTGTAAGACAATTATATTAGAAAGTTCTGTGCCTGCCTTGCTCTGGCCTAAATTAGCTAAAATATGTGGTACAGTCAAACCTGCTCTAACAGCCACTTGTCTTGTGAGACAATCACCTGTGTTCAAACGACCATTTCCCACCTCATGTATTTTTTAGTATAAAAAAATGCTAAATGCGCATTACAATTGATCGCTTTTAAGGACAAGCGGGCTATTTTAGATTTCGGGGGTTTTCAGAAATCTTGACCTGCACCATAAGTGGCCATTGCCCTAACTATAGGAGAAGTTTTGTTTCATTTGTGTGTTTATATGTGTTTAGTTTTATAGAGAAAACTCTCCTTGTCTTTTAAAGAAACTGAACAAGGGGCAAAAACTTTACCTTCGATTTTCTCAAAACAGCATTTTTCGGGATAGCCCCCTTACTTGTGCTTTAAAAGCGATCAATTCACAAGATAGGCCTATATGAATGTTTTTATTTTCTAAAAAGTGTTTTACGGCGCTCGCAACTGCATAAGGTCATATGGGCACGCGGGACACACCAAACATTTTCAGTTGGTAGGAAATTTAGAATTTTGCCCAGGTGGCGGCCGAAGCCTACTATTATCGATTTTGGACCACAAAGGGATCTTTGACATGCGCAACTTGCAAACGGGACCTCCGAAATTTTTCGTCCTTGTCCGAGAAGACTAGGTGCAGATCTTTCCTACCAGAAGATCAGGGGTGTAGCTGAAAGGCAGTGCTCAGTAAGAAGGAGCCAAGGAGTAGCAGTAGAAAAGTTGCAGAAAGAGTCAGGAGCCCAGTGGAGGGGGTAAAGAAGGTAAGGGGGTGGGGGAAGAAAGTGGAGACGAAAGAAGACAAAATATTGCAAGAGAGGAGGAAAAAAGGTGAAAGGAGACATTTTAGAGACGAAATTTTTTTTTATTTTACATAATAATAATGAATGACACTGTCAGACGGCTACTTTACTCCAAGACAATGGGTGGCAGTCTTTTGTACTTCCAACATACTGCTACAGGCTAGCATTTTGACTTAGTTATCTTGGACTCCGAAGTCGAGGCCTCCTGAGCCAAGGCAGAGAAATGAGCTCAAAACGATTCTGTTGCCAGCTGGTTTTTCACTGGAAGAGAATGCTCTTGACTTGGCCTTTGCTAGAGGATTAAGCCAAATCTTCTAGTGTGTCTTGTTTGTTTTAAATAGTAAGAGTTTTACAGCACTTCCAATACAATAAGGTCATATAAGTGCCAAAGATTAGACGTATTACAAGAGAGTAACAAACACAAAAAAGAAGGAAGGGAGATAAAGATGTTTGATAAGAAGCAAACCAAACCAGAGTTTCTAATGTCTTCTAAGGTTTTCTCATCTTTAAAATCCACGGATTACTGCTACAACTACACTATTACAGTAGAACACGGCTAGAGCGGGACATTTGGTTCTGCAAGAAAAATCCCGCAGCAGGCGAGTTCCCGCTACAGGAATGCAAAGGAGAAATTACCGAAAAATTTCTAAAAATCCACATGATCATCTCCCTTCCATATCAATAAAATTTGCGCTTTTAAAATAGATTAGTCTTCCTTTTCTTGTCATAGCTGCCACTCAGGAATTTCAAAAAAGGAGGAAATTCATGCGAAGGCGTATGCGCGCTCTCCGAAGGCCAGAGTAAAACCATTGAGATTCAGAGGCAATATATACTGGAAAACCTAGCCTATGGTTTTGGAAGGGAATACTGTCAAATTTGTTAACCATAGGCAACTGAATTAAAATGTATTTGAACCCCCCCCAAAAAAACCCCCACAAAAACACAAAAAAAAACAACAGAAGGCAGTAAGTTGACAAACAAGCATTTGAGTCAATTTGACACAGTTTGGAATTGGTGACTAAAAATCCAGTGTTTGTTGCCAGCTTGTGTCTTATAAAAAGATTCCTTTCACTTTAAACTTGTACATCGATGTAGAGCACGCGCAGTATTGGATCAAGGAGGCAACACCTTTGCCGCAGTACTGAGCACTCCTGTACAATTGCGGTCCCGTTCGCACTTAACTTGGTAGTGCCCCTGTAGTGTGTAGATCTAAATTGAATTAAAATGATAGCTTAGGCTATCTAATCTAGATCTAGATATCTAAACATGTGAAAATATAGATTATATCTAGAGATAGATTATCTAGATCTAGATTCACTTCAACAGCCACAATAGCCGTCATGTAAACAAACGGGACCGCAATTGTACAAGAGTGCCGCGGGCCGCGATTTCTTTATCACACCAAACGCAAAGTGCAGCAAGCGGCTTGTTCAATTTTCTAATGAACTTTTCAAGTCGCACACCGGCTGCTTCTTTCTCATTCCAGCTCCTTTTCTTTTGTTTTTGCATTCTGCATCAATTTCTCTCGAATTTCCGCCGTTTTCAATGACAACTCGGCGCGCTAACGTCCCGATGCCCGATCGACACTTCGTTGCTCCACAATAAACAAAGTGAAACTAGCACTAGGCCTAGAAGACGGAAGTAGAAAGCTACGGGCAGACATGCGTCATGCACAAGCTGCGTTTTCCTCTCTCTCCCGGTTCGGTATTTTCCGCGTGTAAAAAAAGTATCGCAATTTGCGACCGAGAGCGGTCCAGCGATGGAAGGAGGAAAGTAGCGGGAAAAGCTAGATAAAGCGGAGTTTCCGCTATTTAGCGGGAAAGTGGCAGCTATGTCTTGTCAACTTCGTTGATTGTCTCGGCCTTTAATTCAAGTGAGAAGCACTTTTGTCTTTGTGGGACGCCATCTTTTCTTCGGTCTTGTTGCCAGTGCTGTCTATCGTACCAGTAGGTCTACTGTAAAACTGGTGAAGTGGATGTGTGCGTATGCCTATGAGCATCAACAATCGCAATTCACTGAATCAGGAATTATACTACACGCTCTCCTCTCCTTTTACTTTTAGGCCTAGCCTAAGCCTACTAGAATCTAAAGAGCTATTTTTGGGGGGGTGATTTAGTTTTTGCTTTAAATAGAGGTGACTAAATGAAAATGCACAATAGGTTACTGCCAAAGTTGAGCAGTCTTGTTTTCTCGCAGTACCTTTTGAAGGCATTGTCACATGAAGTACATCATGACAATGTTTAGTCCTGGAACGTTGCCCCAACTACAACTGAAGTATCTGAATATATTCAGAAAACTAGAAATTTCTAGCTCTAGAAATAGAATTCGAGGAAAAAAAAAAACGAAGTGTATTCAGACCCAGTAACCAGGAACAAAGTCTCGAAGTATACAGACCCAGTAGTGGAAATCTTCTGTGATTTCGGAAAGTTTCAGCGCCCAGACCCGGTAGCGTGTGTGTGTGTGTGTGTGTGAGAGAGAGAGAGAGGCTGGCAGAAAAGAGGGGAGAGAGACAGAGAAATAGAGAGGGTGACTGCTCGATTGAAATTATAGTATTGTTCTTTTCTTCACATTGTGTTTCCTCCAACTCCAAAGCAGAGGAAAAATCATCGTTCATCGAAAAGACATCCGCAATCTTCATTTAGATTTAGATCTAGGACTCGAAACTAGATCAATGATCTATCTAGGTCTGTCTGTCTAGATCAAGACCTAGGCCATAGATCTAGAAGAACATAGGTCTACCCTGAACGAAGAGGGCGCTGACACTTTCCGAAATCACAAAAGATTTCCCCTACCGGGCATGTATACCACTTGACTTTGTTCCCAGTTTTTAAACCGGGTCTGTATACACTCCCCCCCAAAAAAGCTTCTTCCCAGTCCTCGCAGAATGGCAGAATGAAAGATGACGCCTAACTCTCACAAATAACCAACAAACTAGAAATTAGAAACCGTTCGGAGTTCAAGTTTATTATCCCGAGCGTTCTGAGAAATAGTCACTTCGATTTACAGAGTAGAGCGTCCTCAAATTCCGGTGGCGCCCTGTCCGAAAAAGCGCACCCTTTGCAAACAGAGTTACCCTGCTTGTGTGGCGACCGTTATCCTCGTTTAATTTGACTTTAGAATGAGAGGCGAGAAGCCATTAAAATTTTTTTAAATAAAAATCCGCACTGAAAGAACCCAAACAGCTGATGAACAGCAGTCGATCTGGGCACGCAAGAGGGTGCTATTCCTATTCTTCTTGTGAAGAATCTGAAACAAAAGAGAGCTTCAAAACAAAGACTGCAGTGCCATCTGAAGCAATGAGCGGACATTTTTTTGGCTGAGTGAACCATCTATCTTGTTATGTATTCTCTTTGAAAGTGGCTATTCTCACCCGCCCGGAAGTTCTCGCAAGATCAACTCCTCCCCTCTTCTCTCTCTCTCCGTCTCTTTCTGAATACTGTCTATCGGTGTGGACGATCAAATTTACCAAAACAAAGTTAAAAAATGATGTTAAAACACAAAAGTAAATTAATTTGGTTGTCTACAAAGATGTTACGGCTATTTAACTTTTCGAATCGAGCCGAACTACGCGGGTCGCCATTTTGTTTTGCCCGGAAATTCTCGCGCTACTCCTCTCTCTCTTTCTCTCTCCACTGCCCACAGACAAAATTGTACGCTTTTAGTAGGCTACAGTTGTAATGGAACGTTTGTTCACGGCACAGAATTCTACAATTTTTCTGTTATCACAGTGTAGAATTCTGTGGTTTAGGGTGAACGCAAAATTTGGTGAACGCGCACCGGGTGAGAATAGCCACAAAAGACTCGCCTTCACTATTCTCACTCCGGGTGAGAATAAAGGTGGCCATTCTCTTTGGCATGGCCTAGAGTTTGTTGACGTTTGTTCATCCTTATTATCAGTACCAAACATCCAACGATCCAGCACCTTCTAACCAAAGCCAAAATAGAAACATACAATAATTGTATAAATATAAACTAGATCTAGATCTACCATGCCACCAAAATTACACTTACACTTACACGGTCCATTTTCTTTCAAAATTCAGATTTCTTTGGACCTCTCAGTAGTTCACTGGGATGGGTTTCATCTGAATCGGTAACACGTGAAATTGACACAATACCCTGCCTTATGCATTAATTATTGGACTCCTCTGAACACAGTAACCCGAGCCGAAGAAAAACAAGTTAAAAACGATTTCCTCACGACTGCACGACTTATGATCTAATCGACAATCGTGGGAAAGTGGCAAAGTGGTAACAAAGTAAACGGAAGTAGATTGCGATCAAGGTCTATATTCGCAGTTTGTAAAGACTTTTGTACCCCAATTCCGAATTTGACTAATTTCACAGGAGAAAGAAGTGATTGCGTTCATTCCGATAGTGAACTGGTCTTTTTATTTAAAAGTCAAAGCTTAACTTGTTTTTTTTTTGTGAGTTATTTTTATTGCTTTTTATGGGGGGGGGGGGTGCACCTTTAAAATGAAACACTACATCTCTTTTCTTGCGCCCAAAAGTTAACCCAAAACAAAACTGGAGATGTTGAAAGAATTACCGTTTTGTGAAAACAGCTAACACCCGGACTCCATGGTATTTGCGTTCTTGTCGGTTATAATTATTTTTTATAGCCTATGAAATTTGTTTTTAAAGAGTTGGGACGCCCAATGATCCGGAGGTTCAATTCCCATAGATTAAATGCAAGGTGCCCTGGTTACTTTGCCAAAGAGAGTAACTATGCTCTTATTATCTCTTAGATCTAAGAAAGTCTAGGCTCAGACTACACCCCCCCCCCCCCCCCCCACAAGACAAACGATTAAACAAAATTTTTTAAAGAATGTGTGTTGAAGAAGGGCGATAGATCCTGTACAAATCAGCAGGGGTTGGATACCATCTGAATGAGGGGGTTCGTGATGGGGTTGTGGATAGTAGTAAACTGGTATAGGCCTTCAAGTGGAATATTGCCAGACTGGTCTGATGGTAGACTAACTTTAAGTAGAACAGAAACTTCGCAGTAGACCGTCAAGTGGACAAGCACACACACAAAAAAAATTATAAATATCTTCAAAAGCTGATTATCGCTGTTAGATCTACATGTATTGACTAAAGCTAAAATTGGAACAATACAAATTTGAAAGTAACTTTTTTTTTGGGGGGGGGGCAACTTGATTCCACTTTTTAGGGGGGGGGCGCTCAGCGAGTTGATGCAATACACGCTGTTGACAAACTTAAATTTAAATCTTTAGGCCTAAGATCTACAATCTACAGGAGGGTCTTTGGGACGTTCACGTTTTGCACCATCCTGGAATTCATCCAAAACAAAACCTGGACAGAAAGTTTATTTGTTTATCAGGGAAGGCTACTCCAGTGGACAGCAAAGTCAGCTGACGACTTTCGACTCCTCTGCCTCTGCTGAAGTGATTGTGTTGGGGGTTTTTTAGATTTCATTAATCAATGTTTCAAGTCTATGCTGCATTACTGTCTTGTGCATAAAATTTCACTTTTATTCCAAGTAATAAATGACCATCTTCATGACTTTAAAGCCCAAATTATCAGTTCATACTGTGCTGATGCCGGTGAATGAAGTTTCGGAACAGAACACAGTGTCCTCATCAATTCAATTTCAAAGCCCTCTTCTGCTGCGTGAACCTTGAGAATCAAGACCCTGAGAAAATCTTCTATAGCCTACTAGAATCTAGATCTACCCATCAATACGTTAACTTTTAAAGGCTGATATTTCAAAAATATTGCTGTTGCAAGACCTGCTTGCTCAAATGGAAAGTCAATACAAAACTGTTGTTCAGGGTGAAGCTTCAGAGTCAGATGAAGAAGAAGAGTTGTCGTCCTCTTCGCTGGTAACTTTATTTATTTACTTTGTTTTTTTGGTTTGAGAACCATAGGCCTAAATAGTATGAATATGATATGGCTCTGAATTTCAAACTTCTACTCTAATAGCCCAATGGTACATCATAACAGTTGGCAAGGGGGTACACTGAAATATATATATACTATAGATCTATCATACTATCATGTAATAATGTGCTTTTGAGGGTCAAATTGCTCAAATGGATGTATTTTTTGCTGCAGATCATACACATGGTCAATATAACTGTTGTAAATCAATTACAGTGAAGTCCTGGGAAGATTGAAGAATACCGGACCACTTGTACATTATTGCGCGAGAAAGTGGGGCAGGTGGTTGGGGTGGAGGAGGGGGAAGGGGGGGTTCAGGGGGGTCTCCCCCCTGACAAAATTTTAATGAATAGATCTACCGGTCCGAGATTCTCCATTGAGAGATATATTAAAAACGGGAAAATTATGAATTCCTAAGGTTGAGACATAGGCAAAGTCAGTCCGCTGGTCCGGTATTCTTCAATCTTACCGAAGTCCTGAAATAACGAGAAGTCTGTTATAAAAAGACACTAATCTATAACCTGGTTTTTTCCCTACTTTATTTTTGTAAATAAAATACTGCATTTGCGCAATCAGACAAACGTGCGAATCGGTTATAGCGGAATATTGCTGTTGCCGTGCACAGAGCATAGGCCAATTATAATATGTAAAACCTCGACAGTTGAGAAACTTGTTGGTGATCTAGCGAAACAAAGAATGGGAGAGCCCATGTGTGCCAACAATGAAGGCCGGAGTGAATGAATGGGGAGGGTGTGGCATGCACAGACAAGCAGAACACATCGTGTGATAGGCCAGCCTAGATTATCTTGGCCTACCATGTCTCTTACTTCTCTGAAGCGGGGATGGAGAGGTCACAGTGCTGTGATGGATGGAACAAATGTGTGACGTGAGCAAGCAGACAGAATGCAACACTGGGTGTGGCGGGGTGGGGGACAACACAGCAGACGAGTTAACCTAGAGCCCTTTCCTTCTTTTATCGCCAATGCCAAGCTGTCAACATCGCTAGCACTAGAGAAAGAAACCTGATTCAATTTTTGATCAAGTAAGACCAAGAGGTCATGTTGAACAAACTTATCATCTGGGGAGATAACAAAAAGAAATAAACAGAACACCAAGCTCATAGATAAGGCCTACTTTGTTATTCCCCTTGAATTTAGCTCTGGATCCCTTATTATATAACGAGAATCTTGCTATAACGGACATTTCGCTCTAGTCCCCTCCCTCTCATTATAACTGGATTCCACTGTATTTCCATGATAATTTCAAACATAATTGCAAACATGAAGTTATGGGGAAAAACTGGATAACCCCCTGCCTCCCCAGATTGTATTTTACCTTAGAGGGACATTCCCTGAGGTAAAGTAATTAAAAAATAAAATGACCAAAATAAAAACATACTGCCCTACCAGCTAGGATGTTCTTGAACTCAGGTTGTTTTGTGGAGTTTTCAAGGCTCTCAACCCATCTGGCTCTGTTCTATTGCAGATGGGTTACATCAAAGTCGGAGGTCCATTCTCCTTAAAGAACCAAATAATGTTGAAAGTGACATGAAACCCAAACACTTTTTATTATGGTTGGCAAGGGATTGAACAAAAGAATGTCAATACTGAAGGCTGCTGTAAAAAATGCTTATTTTATTGAGGTCGTAACATTGAACATGTGTGTGTCTGCATTTTGTCTGACCTGTTAAAATTACATTTCTGTTCCCAAATTTTTGCAAGTTAATGCATCCCATGAAATAACTTACTGATCCAGTACAGGTGTACCGTCTATATGAGAGTGGTTTAATTGTAGGGCAGGGAAGGTCCAGTAGACTGTAGATTATAGATTTACGATTTAGAGCGATCAATGTCATTGTTTTTTTATGTTGAAAACGCATTGTTCTGGATAGTAGATTTGTATTTGTAGCCTACAACAAGTCTGCTTTGAATTAACCTGCTATGGGTCTTATTCCATAAAGTGGGAAATGCATGAGGCTGAATAGTGATAAAACTATCCAAGCTAAGTTGTTCCATGAATTGTTCTTTTTCACGCTCATCAAAGTACTTTTGATACTTCGTTCAAAATCTACCTTTTTTCAGATTTATACTTTTCTTTTGTTTTTTGTTCCAGTCGGAGCCGAGAGCTGTGGTGGTTGAAGGAGAGGCATCTGAGTCTGAGGAAGAAGAACTAGACTCGAGTGGAAAATCCATTCCACCTGCTTTGCCACCTATTAAATCATGTAATTTTTCACTGATGTAACTCTAGTTTATTTTTCCCATTTTAATCGTGCACGGTTAGCATTTTTTATCGTTAACCTGCATATATAGCTGAACACCATAACTTTTGCTTGTATTTGATGCTCTTCACCCAAACAATGCTTAAAGACTCTGACATTATTAGGAAAGATTCAAATCATTTTGAGATATTTCTCATATCTATCTGGACAGGTAGGTAAAATTCTCTTATACTATTTATACACTGGGCTCTATAATCCAATTAGATTTAAGCGACCTATTTTACATGGCCACTTTCACTTCCTCTTTGTCTGTAAGTAAATAATTGGGGGGGGGGGGGGGGGGGGGGCAATTTTAAACAGAGTAGCTGTCTGTGGAAATTGAAAGTAATGGAAATTAATAAGATAAACATCATTTGATCAGAGATTTGTTTGTGTTAAGCAGAGTGTTAATGAAAAGAACAAAAAAGGGGGGAGGCGACTTCTTTCTGTTTGTTGTGACCAGAACTGATAAGATCACATTTCACATGCTAGGTCTTGTGTAACCTATTTTTAGTCATTAATAATACCCTGAAAGCTGCCAACTTTCAGAAACTGAAGGAAGAGAAACTTTATTTTCAACCTCAGACTCAGATGGATGTCTTGACCACAAAAAAATGGGGTTCAAGGGAGGTTGCAGCTATTTACTTAAATGATTTTTCACGCTGCCAATAAGTTTAAGAATCTGCTTTTCTGTCTCCCGATGACTAGTTTCGAAGGTGGAGGACGCTGATGTGTGTGCTCTTTCTCTTTTTGAAAATAACTTTTCTGTTACTACTATTCACCCTTGCTTATCGATTAAATCAAAATCATAGTTTTCACTTCTTTGGCCAGTTGTTCACTTTAGATTTGTGGCTTCATGCTTGTTTTCTATTCTAGCTTCATCCATCAAGTAAGCTATCCTAATTTTATTGGGCTTCAAAACTTGCCCTCTGCTGATTAAGTGGAGAGTAAACCAGTGCTCCTGCTCCATCTGAGCAAAGGCCAAGTCATTGTGTTATCAACTCCAATATCAAAGTTTTATCAATGGTGTGTACATTTAATACAAAAGAGAAAAATCTCTAATCTGCTTATATGTTCTTTTTCTTTTTCAGTAAATGAACATTCTTCATCGTACGAGTCTATAGACAGTATCACTAATGTTCCCACTCTTGCTCCAAGACAGGCATGGAAACCAAAGTATGACACGTGAGTATTATGTATATATACAATATTTACTTTGCTACCCTTCTGTTTGTGCTCACCTGTTGTTTCATGTGTTACCTTAAGTTCTCTGGTCACTTAATTTCTGTAAATATCTTTGAAGTGTTTCCTTAACAAATTCCATGACTTTTTCTATTTTATAATCTCTTGAAATCAGAGCTTTTCAAGGGATGGGAGAGTGGGTGATTTCAAAATTAAAGTGCTTAATTTGGACACTCTCCATTGGACATGGTGACACTTTATTCTTAAAACAATGGAATTGCCATCTTGGCAATTTTCCCTCAAGCACTTGATTATCCTTTTAGATTGCAAGTTCATTGCATAACTATTCTTAACTCTTCGAGTTCAAGTGTGATGCAAATTTCCATGTGTTTGCTATCTTTGAGTTCTTCCATACCTTTTTCCTCAGAGTGCTGAATCGCAAATTATGTAAGTATATGTAGTATTTTAACTCATTTAATTTCAATATTACTGTTATAATTGCAAGAATGCATCATTTAGACCATGATCATACAGCTTCGGCAGGATTTTTTTTTTCTCCCACTCATTTCCACCAAGAGTTATATGAATAAATTGCTTGGATCTACTTGTTCTTAAAGTTATCTTGTATTCTTACTTATGGGTTCATTTTGCCAAGATGGGGTCCATAGTTCTTTAGTTATCACATGCACAGGGGGCTTCCCACAGCAGCTGAAGCTATGCAATTTTGGTATAACAAGAAAAAACTGGGCCTTGTTTTTTCGACTGCATAGGCACTTGTCTATAATTATCTATTATTTACTTGTAGAAACTACATGTAGTTTACTTCTGCAACTCATTTACAATCACAAAGAAGATGTGAAGAAGAAATAATTTATAATTTCTGTACCTATCACTACTATCAGCTTTATTTTGTGCCTGCAGAGCATATCTGAGGATGTTAACTTGAACTGCATGTCAGGAACTTCAGTGGCCCATTACTTTTTGAAGATCCTATTGTTTTGAAAGATTGTGTAAGAGAAAAAAGCCCAATTTCAATTTGGTAGAAGTTAAAGGTTACTAATACTGTTTTTTCAACAGTTCAAAACTGCAGGTACATCACCTTCAAAAAACATGTCTCGTCTTTGTAAAAAATATTATGTTCAGAAGACTAGCTTCTGGTATAATGTAAATTTTAAGACAAAGAAGAGAAGCAAAATTAATACCACTGCATGCTGAAGTGTGCATTTGGTGAGCACAGTAGAACATACTAAAAATACCCTCAGATTCGTTGGGTTAGGAAATACATTGCTTTTGCCAGTTTTGTTTTGTTTGGTTTTCTGTCTGATGATATTTCAGAGTTGTTTTGCTTTTGTACAGTAGAACATGGCTATAGAAGGACTTTTAGTTCCAGAACAAAAAGCCTGCTGTAGGCAAGTTCCCACTATAAGAATGCAAAGGAGAAATACCGAAAAATCACACACTGCACGTTCTCCTCTTATTTTACTGTCTTTTTGGCCTAGCCTAGGCCTATGGCACATCACTTTTGGAGTGGCTCACATAAAGCATCTCTCCGCACCATTACTCTCTGCCACTTGCCCCACCTCACTCATCACTGGACTGGTCAATCACAACGCTGCACCGCTGACTGCTTGTTTGGAGCCCACCTACAGCCCTGCCCCCTCACCCCCCTACCCCCTTCCCCCAGTTAGAGCTTGCTCGACCTCTCCCGCTGTATTGAAGTTCGGGCTTTTTTTTGCCCAAGCTCAGTTAATTGAGTCTACATAGACAAAAAAAGGAGCTTCCAGTAAGGTCCCGCTGTAAGGATGGTCCCGATGCAGCGGGTTCTGCTATAGTCATGTTCTACCGTATAAGTTTAGGACTCTTTTACTCTTAGACATAAAAAGGTCAGAAGGAGGAAAGTCAGGATAGAAATATTGCATGGATCATTCATGTTTGCTGTTTTCACACCTTACTAGTGTGCCGTTTCTCTGCTGATACAAAACCTCTGCCCCTCCACCAAGCTATTGAGGTGATTTGTATATGTTATTGAGAGCTGAGGCTGTATATATGTCTATTTCATCAGCATGATATAATCCATGACTGTATACCACAGTTTTCCTTCAATGTTAGTATTGAGTGTAAACTTTTTCTTGTTTTATCCTTCTGCTTTGTTTTGATTTCTAATGTGATTGTCATTTATTTTCTCAACTCAGGGGAAAGCAATTTATCACTCTGCAATAATGCGAATGGTATTGCAAGTCAGGCCTACCTTTCGGCTGCCAAAGATATTACCAACTGTGCGCAGCAGCTGTCAAAGTCACATGGTGCCATTCAGGTTTGTAGGTCTCTTTTGAAAAAACAGTATGTTTTTACTCAGCAATACAGTATACAGTAATCTTCATCTTAGATGCCAGAGCTTGGGAGCAAGGAGAATGTGGGATCTTAGGTGAACGACATACTGACTTTTAATATTTTTTAAAAAACTGATGTTATAGAAAATGGAAAACCTATCAGTACTATATTCTAGAACTTGTCACGAGATGTGTTGCACAATTTGAGACTACTTACTGATGACCTTTTCAACCTAGATGACATGACAATGTCTGGATAAAAAATGTTCTGTTCAGTACTGTGACAATCGGATGCTACACAAAGAGGCACAAAGCTATTAAGACAGGCTTGCTTTTAACCACTTTTTTTTTTTTACTTACGGAAAACTGAAAAACTAATAGTGCCATATTCTGGAATCTGCCCTTATTTATCCATCCACAGGATGTGTCGCACAATTTGAGGCTACTTACCAATGACCTCTTCAACCTGGATGACCGCACCGACATCATAATTTCCTGTAAACTGTTGCCTGATATTCAGCTACCTCAAGGCAGGAGGACAGTTCCCCCTGCATCGCAGCAGGCTGCTGGTGGACCCAGTGACACGTCCCAGCAAGCCTCTGACACTAGTTCCACCTAATAATACTTTGTTTGTTCTTAACTGTACTCTTCAGACGGGATGGGACCATTGCAATGTCTTTCAGTACCTATCAAACTATGGAAACATACCAAAGTTCCCAGCAATATAACTGTGCATATTTTCTTCCATTGTACCTGGTGATGAGTGATGTAAGTCTTATTGTATGAAATATCATTTCCTTTTTCTGAGTATGAAAAGATTGTACAAACATGTTGCAACTTATCATTCTGTACATGATGTACCCACTGATAATTCCAGTGAAATGCCGTGCATTTTTTAGTGACTTACACAGTATGTTTAGGATAGTAAGTAAATTGCATAATATTACTGTTATGTAGTGCTCTCTACACTTGCATTCCACCTTTCTTTCTACCGCCTACCTTTTTATCACATAAGAAATTTGACTCTTCTTGCTTGTAATTTACTTCAATATAGATAAATTTTGAAATTCTTTCATTTCCCATTCGTGTAATGTTCCTTTTCTTTTTACGTACTATTTTTGTACAGTTTTACACCTCTTCTCAACACACAAGAGGTCATATCAAAGACGGAGCGCTTGGTAATGCAATCCTGCGCTGAAATGAAATATTCCAGAAAGAAACAGAAGAATGCTGCTACTTTTGAAAGGAAACATTGAACTCCTGTGTACGCTGGCATTATCAACTTACATAAATCTCTGCATTGTTGTTATATTTAATGTGCAATTTCTCCCACAAATTTGCTTTTTTCATGTGTTATTAGTGTAAAACATTTACTACCATGATCAACAAGTTTATTTTGTTTCACACTTTTTTTCTTTTTCTTTTTCTTCTCTTCTTCCTCCTCCCTTCCTCTTTTCCTCCTCCACCTCCTCCCTCATCATCCTTTTTCTCAAGTGAAATCAACTTAAGCCATGGTGCAATGGATGTTTATCTTACCAGACTTGGATCTGTTGCTAATAATCGGAACTTTTCATGCAGATACATTCTTTTTTTTTAAGGTTGTCTTTTTTTGTCAACCTGAATATATTATTTATAGATTTCTTCAGTTTGGGTTTGGGGGTAATTTTGATTTGTTTTCTCCTTTTTGTTCTTTGAAAACAAAGATGTCATTGACAAATCCTGCAGGTAAAAAGAGCCTCTGGGATGTTATGTCTGTATGCAAGATAAGGTTTGAAGATCCCATCTACCCTGAGATCAGGGGTGTGAAAAACCTGAGAAATGTCCTCAGTCATCCACTTCCCAAGCTTTGACAAAACCCTGATGGATATCAAATCCAGGTCCCCGATGTGAGAGGGGAAAATCTTGACTAGAGGCCAGTGAGCTCCTTCCACATCTTTAATAGTGTAATGCAACACATTCTGTTGTGGTCATGCAATTCTGTGAACAGATGGGATATCTCAGAAAACTACAGACTTCAACATAAGTTAGGGACCACCTTGACAGACAGCCTTGATTTTTTTTTAAAGCGGAAAAAAGATAGCAAGAAATGTTTCAACATTTTTTGCTCTGAAAGTGTTAATGGGTTACCAATGCGTACTGCAAAGCTTCCTAAAGTGGCAAAACGACCACGTGCTGCACGGTTATCCTGGGGGAATTTTAGCCAAATTTTTCTGCTTTTTATCAACTTGTGTGCAACACCACGGACATTCCTCAGTTTAAATTTCTGGTGCACGTCATAAAGGGACGTACGGTCTCGAACTGTGCTCACTTTAGTGACAATATAAGCCGTTGTTTGCTAAAAATCCAGTATTCCATCAACATGCACCAACGCGAAAGCTGAGAGACTTTGATCGTGCCAGAGCTATGGCATGGCTGCAGGATGGAGTTGGAGCCCGAGAAGTTGCCAGAAGGCTTGCAATGTCACACTCTGTCATTGTCCGCTTGAGGCAGCGCCATCGAGCCACTGGATCAGTCCAAGAACGCCCACAAGCAGGTCGACCAAAGAAGACCACTCAGAGTGTTTGCAAGTGGTCCTTAACTTCTGTTGAAGTCTGTAGTTTATTGAGCTCTTTCATGTCTTACCAACAATAGTTTAGCTAGCTGTGTTTCTGATGTAGTAGGCCTATGTTTCTTATGTTAATTTAAAAAAGCATGTTATGTTATGTTGCTGTTATTGTGCTGTTGCTAAGCTGTGACATAGCTACCAAACCAGGTTAGTTTGAATTTCTTGTCTTTAATGTTTTATACGTCATTCCAGATGAGAGAAGAAATGTTTTAGAAGCACTTGACAGTTTATTTATGCACTTAATACTAATACATGGAATTGTTTTGTTGATTTACTTTCTATAAACTATAATGAAATGTCAGTCCCAATATTCTGAGCCAACTTACTGCTTTGGGGGTTTGTTTTTATAAAGGAGTTCAGCATACCATTAGTGTGAGTCTTGATCCTCCTTGATCGCTGATGTGAGCCTCCTAAATTCTGTTGAAATTAAACCTCTGTTCAACTGGCTGTATTCTCTATTTGAATTTTTAAGATAAGACTGTTATATTTATTGCTACTACACAATTTAAAAAATGAATACTGATAATGATGTACATAGTAAAAATGTTTTTCCGAGTGGGTGAAGGTAAAAGCTGTGATGTGGAGAATGTGTGTGAAGTTGTCCCCTCGCCCTCTCTTTTTTATCCTAACTTTTCACTGTCCATCTAATTTTATCTATCTTGTTCTTTTCCTTCCCCTCCCTGCTCCTTTTTTCCTCCATCCATCTTCCTTTTCTCTCTTTTTTCCCTGTCTGAGCGTCTCACATCATATATATCTTCATATATTGTATTCTCTCTCTCTCTCTCTCTCTTTCTCTCTCTCTCTCTCTCTTTCTCTCTCTCTCTCTCTCTCTCTCTCTCTCTCTCTCACACACACACCACACACACACACACACACACACACACACACACACACACAAGGGGGCTCTCATGGTCCAGAGGTTACAGTGTTCGCCTCTCATTCAATAGGTTCAGAGTTCAAAACCTGCCACTGACAGCGATGGAAAAATGTTCTTTTGATCTCTAAATGTTTCTTTTCACCCCCTTTCCTGCTCTCTTACCATGATCTGTCATCTGCTTTCCTTCCGTCTCCACTTTCTGCCCCTACCTATCCCCCCTTTGCTCCCTCCTCTGGGCTCCTGACTCTTTCTGCAGCCTTTCTACTTACTGCTACTCCTTGGCTCCTTTTTTATCTTACTGCCCACTGTCTTTCAGCCACACCCGTGATCTTTGGGTAAGATCTAACACCTAGCCATCTCGGATGAGGGCGAAAAATCTCGAAGGTCCCATTTGCAAATTTTGTACGTTAAAGTTCCCTTGGTGGTACAAAATCGATAAGAAAGGGTAGGCGTCTGCCGCTACCTGGGCAAAATTCAAAATTAATTCTACAAACTGTCCCGCACGCTCATGTAACTGTATGCAGTTGCTAGCACCGTAAAACACTTAGCAAGACCAAAACAACAATACATGTATTGTATTTGTATACACATGATGTGTACACATGCACATAAGATCTACACCTAGCCTTCTCGGACAAGGGAGAAAAAACTCAGATGTCCCGTGTGCAAGTTGTGCACGTTAAAGGTCCCTTTGTGGTCTAAAATGGATAAGAGTATGCTTCGGCCGCTACCTGGGCAAAATTCAAAATTTCCTAGCAACTGAAAAGGTTTAATGTGTCCCGCGCACTCATATGACCTTATGCAATTGCGAGCGCCGTAAAACACTTACTAAAAAAAATAATAATAACATCAGAAGATAAGAGGTATTACAATTACAAAAGATTAGAGGTGTTACAATTACAAAAGATTAGAGGTGTTACAATTACAAAAGATTAGAGGTGTTACAATTACAAAAGATTAGAGGTGTTACAATTACAAAAGATTAAAGGTGTTACAAACGAGTAACAAAAACAAAAAGGAGAGAAAACAACGAGAGATGTTTTGATGGGAAAGAAGGAGCAAAACACACATGAGCATCCGCCAACCACCCAATCGTGAGGCCTCTATTGGTGGTTTATGTTGTGACTTCGTTGTAATTGACATGAACGTTTGAACCTGATAGTGATAAAGCCGGTGGTTGGAGGGTGCCACTTTCGTGCTTTACTTCTTCTTTACTTTCCCTCTGTTGTTTCTACCTACCAATCTTGTTCCGTTTCCTAACTCTGAGTGGTGGTTTTGGTGCTGATGCCATTCTGTTTACTCATTCTAAGCTGAGAGAATGAATGATTGATATGTTACAATTATAATATTATGGTGGCTTGTGGGGAATGGTGTTGTTCGTTCAAAGTGAATCAAAGTCCCCCTCCCCCTAACCAATTTTGAACTTTTGTTTTTAAATAGAATTATATTAAAAATGTAAGATTAAGAGCCTCCTGGGCGTGTATCTTATTAATGGATAAAGTATGGGTGAATATTGGCAGGTGCTTTGGTGTGGTTTGCTCCTCCTTTCCTATTAAAAAAAAATTATCATCTTTATCTCCCCTCCCTCTTTTTTTTTGTGTATGTTACTCTCGTGTAACACCTCTAATCTTCGGCACTTATTATATTATGACCTTATTGTGTTCCAAGTGACGTAAAACTCTTACTAAAACAATAATGGATAACGTAAAGAGTGATACAACATGTGTATTGAACAGGAAAAGCTGAGAAAGATGACAAAAATTGGCACATCAAATTTGTTGTCACTTTATAATTGTTATATATAAGCAAGTCTGCCGTAATTGTAGGACAACCATGTTAGATAAATGAAGTGTAGACTACTATCTTGTGTTTCCATTTCCATTGTCTACGCAGAAACCTGGGCATTACTTGGGAAGACATGGTTACAAATATGTCTGTCCTTAAAACAATTGGTTCTCTCAGCTTGCACACCCTACTCTACCAGCATCGGCTTCGATGGATCGGCCACGTACATTAATTGTACATCGCATGAATGATGGACGCATTCCCAAAGACATTCTGTGCTGTGAACTGGCCGCAAGACATCGTCGCTTAGGACGCCTGCCAATGCTGCTCTAGAAAGATGTTTGAAAGGGCGACTTGAAGACACCAAATACAGATGCAGACCACTGGGAAGCGTTTGCTGCGGATCGTGGAGTAAGGAAGGGCATCATGTGCCAAGGAGTACGCCTCGGCGAAATGACAAGAAAAGAGCAGGAAATTGACAGAAAAAGTCGCAGAAAAGAGAGGCAGCAAAATCAAGCCTTCGACCCGACGTCAGCCTTCATCTGCTACACTTGTCTGGCAGAAACTATTATGCTCGAATCGGACTTTTGAGCCACTCCAGACGATGTTCTCGACAGGAGTAATGTACAAGCGCAGTCTTACTCTCCCGTACTACTAGACGACTGTTATCTTGTGCACTACGAGGGTGCCATGTTGAGGTCAGTGCATCGATCACAAAACAGTGTCTGCTCTCCCCTCCTCTGAGGTGTCGTCAAATTTTGTTGGCAGGCTGATACAAACAATAACCTCTGACGTTGTAAAAAGAGTTGGTATTTGATCTCTCTTGGTCCTCAAAATTTGCCCTTTTTCCAATTCATTCCCCAAGAAGAAGGCTTTTCTTTTTTGATGATGTTCGGACGGGTGATTAAGGGGTGCTAATGGAAGGGTCTACTAGACTCTTTTTTTTTCTCTCTGTTTTATCTGCCACTGTCTGTCCGTCTTGCTTTTTCCAAGTCTTGAGTGTGTACTCTCTCTCTCTCTCTCTCTCTCTCTCTCTCTCTCTCTCTCTCTCGCATGTTTTCCGTTTTTATTTATTTTGTTTGTTCTTTTTTGGGGGGACCGGGGCGTACGTTTGTCCTGCCCCAAACAGCTGTGATTGGTGAACATGACAGTACTTTATTTTACCATTGTATTATCTGGGAAAAAAGCATAATACGTTATTGACAAACATGTAGATCTATAAGGTCTTTCTTAACTCGGGACGAATTTCTTTTTCTTTTTTTTTTTTCATAGACTTATCAATTCAATGAGAAGGCTCTAAAATTGCCTTTTATTTTTAGCTTCTTAGATATACTTATGGTTCTGTCAACTGCCAGCCATCAATATTAAAAATATGAAACGAAGTAACTTTCCCTTGTGTGATCAGGGTTCACACCAACAATTGCATTGTTGCCTTCTCATGTCCACTACCGGGTATTGGGCCTGTCACCAATTTTGAGTCTGTAGGCATCTTCTGGAATTAAACACAGGCCAAACAGTGTGCAACACAGATATCTTATGTATAAACACAATTATAGGCGCTGACAAAGGATACTTAGACGTTGGGGACAATGACAAGGTCTTCAGTGAAAAGCCAAAGAATGCGAATCTTTTTACGAACCAAAAAACAAACAAACCGAAGTTAGACTAGAATCAGAGTTGTTCCCCGTGGGAGTTTGTTTTTAAATTTCTTCCCCATTTCCTGTTTCTTCATCGCTGGCAATACCTTGGTAGTACATTTTAGTTTCGGTTTCTAGTTGGCAGGATTGCATAGCTGTGACAGAACAAGGAGGATAGCTGTTATTTTTTTCAGAGCAAATGCGTGTGCGTGTGTCTCTGGGATCGTCCTCGAATATATTCGGCTTACTCATCCTATTTTCATCATGTCATGAGATTTTCAATACAATGTGATGTACTATGATAGATAGGCCTACCATCATAACAACGTCAACATCATTGAATTTGTCATTTGAATATTTGAACTTGAACTTCACTTGATCTAATCTAGATCTAGAATCTAGATCTAGATTTAGATCTGCTCCTCATCAACTCAACTGACTCTACAGTTGTATTGCTTTTCAAATTGACTTTGATTTCTGTAAATTCAGTCAGTGTAAGTGGGCTAGATATGTAGCCTATTGTAGCTCTGGCTGTGGATTTTGACTTTCCTTCATCTTTTCGTGTTCAAGTCAGATCTTGATCAAGAAATCTAGGCTATCTAGATACTAGATCTAGATCTAGAGTATAGATATCTAGATCTAGAATCTAGATGTAGATTGATATTCATATTTTGAACAGGAGAAGCTTTTCTTCCTCATGATCATATTAATTAATAAAATCATAGAAACAAACTAAAACTTAATACAATATCCTCATTGTAATTTACATACACACGCCTTCCGCTGAAGATAATGGATAGTGAATTGAAAAGGACACAACACAGTTGTCATAATTCCAGTTTAGATCTTTTCAATGAAAGTCTAGTGGGGACATCTTATGATGATGTCCAAGACAGTTGCCACGTTCAAGAACAGAGCCACCTGCTGGATGAGGCAAATATAACAAGGGAAAGTAGTTCAAGTGAATCCAGCAGCAATGCAACAGCAACAAAGGCAAAGAAAGTGTATTCTCATATTGGTCAATACTCCAAATCAAGTGTCATTTCGGCAGGCAGTCCCGATATGAAAAGTGAAAGGGAAAAATTTCACCAGACGCAAGAGTGTATTCTTGTTGAGCCATCTGATGAGGAAGATTCTATACAAAATTGCTCTCAACAATCTGCCACGAATAGCAGCAGTGGTTCTTGTGAAGAGTGTGATAGTTATTTAAATATGACTAAGCATTCGACTCACAGTGACAAAAGTAAAGAGAATAAACAAGTGAGTCCACATGATGATAAAGATGCACAAGATAGTGATAGTTCTATGGTTGAAGGCCCAAATAGAGAAACACCACCAGCAGAGAAACCAACAGAATTGAACGCCCATTGGAGTAGCGATAAATTAGATTTGATTTGCCCCTTTTGTGATGCTCGTGAAGAAAGTTTGTATCGCTTGGAGTTCCATGTCTCTACCATGCATCCCGATACTGATGTACAAATGGAAACGGGTGCATTCTGTGAAAACTTGCATGAGTTGGATGGTGCCACAGTGACAGATATTCAGACACTGTCCTGTCCATTATGTGACCTTGAAGTTGATAGTGAAATCGCACTTGGAGCTCACTTGAAGATACTGCATGGGGACATTCTCGATGATGGAGCCAGTATGTCGTGTCCCCTTTGTGACTTCACAAGCCGGAAGGAAGATGGTAAGTCTGCTTTATTTTTTTTAAAATCTGTCTCCCTGAATCAAGGGACACACTGAAATGAAACAATTCTCCTTCCTTCATCAGTTTTTCTTTCGGGATCAAATTGTGTTTACTAACATTGGATATCAGTTATTATCATTTTAAGGATAAAACTGACTACTGTGTTATGTACATGGGAAAGACACTTGACACAAATTTTCCTGACTTCACCCAGGTGGGAATGGGTACCTGGCTATAGACAGCGAAAGATCTTGTCAGTTTGTTAGAAGTGTTTGAAGGCGTGAAATCTGCAGCTTGCACTGTATGCTTTCCAGGAAGCCCAGAAAGTTTCGGAGTGTTTTTGGGTCTGCTGGGGTAATAAAGGTTGTATAGCTCATAGAGCATTATACTGTACATGCACATATATCGTCGGCCTGGTGATAAAACCGACTAACCCACAAAATATCCCCAAAAAATTTATTGGCCTTATCGATAGTAAATTGTCCATTTCATATGCTCACTCAAAGACAGATCATCTGAATTTTGTCTAGAAATGTCTTTAAAACATTAGAAATAAAACCGTATAACCTGGCACCCATCGGATTTTAGCCAGATAATGCCGACTATCCCACCTGCGAGGGACGGAATGAGGGTTGGCTGTTTTTATCGCGCTAACAATGAGGGGCCACTTGCTACGTTACCGACTAACCCCGGCTTCGACTCCTCTCCGGACTTCATTAGATTCAGTTCTGTAATAGTCTGGAATTTGCTCACAAAACCGTGGGAGCTCTCCAAAAAGGAATATTTGTGTAATATTTCTTGTTGGTTTCATTGGGGAGTTATATAGATCTGGTTGTTTCCTCTTTTTTCTTCGTTTTAATACTGCTGATAATGTTATTAATGACTAAAACTCCCCACTGTTCCCACAGAACTGTTTATCTCTTGACAATTCCGGTATTTGAAATGCGTCTTTATGGATTTTTTTTTATATGAAACTATGTTTTCTGTCCACGTGTTTTTCTTTGTCTTTGTACTCGAAATTCACCAATTGTAAAGGCATTTTCCCCTATTCGGACTACTGTCTCTTCTCCTAATAATTTTTCCTTCACAATTGAATGGACAAAGTAGATAGCATTTCCTCCTTTACTAACTCACTCAGAAAAAAAAATTGTGGGACCTGTCCAGCACACGGTCTGCCCCCAACGATCGTTGTTTTTTAAAGGGCTTTTTCTTTATTTTTTCATTTGCTGTGTTTATTGGAGTCATTACGTTCTGAAACATTGTTCGACTTTCTTTGAAAGTTCATTTCGTTTGTGTTTTGAGTAGATTATTTTCTCAGTGTCATAACCTAATGCTTTATCTTTATATCAAACCTTAGCTTACATAACGCTATAACATTCAATAAGATGATGCCACTTTTGCTGCGTCACCTCTGACCCTCAGCGCAGTGGAAAGTGATCAACATGACCAGGCTAATGTCACATCAGCTGATAATACAACAGTTATGTCACCTTTGATCTCTGCGAAAAGGACACGGCATGAAAACGATTGGAAGGGTAACAAAAGGAAGAGGTTGAAAGAACTGGGGATGCCTCTACCCATGTCAAGGCACGAAGCGAGCAGGATGTGAACTTGACGTCCTTTGCAGTTGTAAACTGGTTGGCACAAAATGCAATGACATAACTGGTCACTCTCTTGGAAAGAAAAGAGAGCCTACGTATATGCCACGATAAACATGATAGACAAAAAGAGATCTTACCCAGCAAGGGAAAACCCAAGGAGAAATTACAGCCTTCAATACCACTTACAAGAGTCAATGGTCAAAGAACACCTGTTTGTAAAATAATCTTCAAGAGCACCACAGGCCTGACCCACTGGTTTATTTAAAGTGTCTTCTCCGAAAAAATCCCCCCCCCCTAGAACACATCATGCCCACCATGAGAGAGCCAAGGATGATAAGTTGTTCCATAAAGAGGTATTTTTTGACAAACTTTCGAAGATATCCTCCTGTCTACAGATGACAATCCAGAAAACGTCAGATCTGCATCAAGTATACATGGAGAACTTTGCAGAGAGGGTGAAAGCCACATTTCATTGAGTTATCAAGTGTTCTGCCAAAAGTTCAAGAAAAACAATTTGGGTTTACTTTCAACCAAGAAAGACTAGTGCCTTGTTGTAGCCATAGGACACAGAGTGAGACAGACATGCTCTTCTATCGTCGAGAAAACTCAATAAAGTAGTAGTTGTCAAGCCACGCACTTTGGAGAAAGTTGGCGCATTCTTTGGTACTCACAAAGTCTTTTTGTACAATGATATATCATTAAGTAACCAACTTTTCCCAAACCATTGTTGAGGTAGCAGAGCTTTTGTGTGGCTTTCTGCTTTCATTTCTTTCTTAGTATTACTTTTTTCCAGGCCTTTGAATGGCCACCCAGTGCCAATAGTACCGTGTCAGACACGGTTATAAATTCTAAAGGCCTACTGCTGCTGCTGCTGCTACTACTGTTGTTTTTGTTGTTGTTGTAATTGTTGTTTTTGTAGTTGTTGCTGTAGGTACTCTCCCTTACCCTTCCAACCCCCTGTTCTTCTACTTTAAATGTAATTAATATACCCATTGCTGTGTTCTGCTTCCTCTACTTCTATTAGAGGTTCAACTTTGTGACTGCTGTTTTTGGCCGAATTGACTCCGTAGCACTGAAATGGCAGCAGCTGATAGTATGTTGGTAGCAATAATATAGTCCTCCTCCTCTTCCTTCTTCTTCTTCTTACTCTTCCTCCTCCTTCTTTTTCCTCCTCCTCCTCCTCCTCCTCCTCCTCCTCCTCCTCCTCCTCCTCCTCCTCCTCCTCCTCCTCCTCCTCTTCCTCCTCCTTCTTCCCTTCTTCTTCTTCTTCTACAAAAGATCTTGACGATTGAAGCAAGTGATCAAATACGTTACCCGTCAAGTGTGACTTGGCTGCACTAAACCAAACTCAAGGCCAGCAGTGGCTTCCTGATAAAACCGGTCAACCCACAAAATTGAGGGTTGGTCGGTTTTATCCAGGAAAATTTGAGCGACATAACCGTCTAACCCACACAGTTTCATTAAAAGCAATTTTTAAAGGAAAAAAAGGTCTACACATTTTCGGTAAAGTGTTTATATAGGTGTTTAAAGCATTGATTTATCGTTAGACGCCTTTGTTTTGAAATAAAACAGTTTTTTTCCTTCTCCTGTAAAATTTACCTCGAGGGGGTTAGTCGGTTTTATCACAAGGCCGACGATATGTTTGTATTGTGTTTTCTCACATAAACACACACACACATGCATGCACGCATGGGCACTCACATACTCATGAAACCAAAGAAGGACCCAGAAAAAATGACCAAAAAACCCACAGTTGATGGGAATCATGCTCTTGCCTCAACATGCTTTTTATTTTTTTTACTCTATTTTTTTTTAGATCTACGCAGGCACATGCAGGGTCACCACAATGATACAACTTACTTTGGTGTGAGTTGTAGTAGTGATGCCACAGAATCTTCTAGCCATGAGCCCGCCTGCCCTATTTGCAGTCAAGTTTTTGGGGATACAGACCTTCTGACGTCTCATGTGGAAAGTCATTTTGGGACCACATACCAGTCAGGTAACAAAATATAATGTGAGAAAGAATTTTGTTATATACTTCTCGCTGTAAAGTTTAGGAAACAATTTTCTTCTTACTCTTCTTGTTTCATCTTTAGATAGACATCCCAGTCTTCAATGTGAAGGCTGCTGTTTGCTGCAATTCTTTCATGCTCTTGAACAGTTTTGGGGCTCCTTATCTAATGTTGGGTCAATACTACCTCCTGAGTGCTTCATGCTTTGGGCAGGCTTGGAAAAAAAAGGGTAACTGGTAATTCAGGGGGTGCGATGGCGGAGCGGTTAGTGCGCTTGTCTCCGAAGCGAAAAGTCCGGGTTCGAGCCTCGGTTCGGACACAGATTTTTTTAGCCCCCTCCTGCCCACCCAGCAGTAATGGGTACCTGACTTTGAGTTGGGGAAGTAAAGGCGGAATGGAAAGGAACAGGCCACCCTACCACAATATGCCGAAGGCCGAGGAAGTTGTCTTACTAACAAGGCAATCCCCAATGTCCGGATCGGATGCGGGAACAACTTTACTTTACTTTTTACTCATAATTTTGTATGTTCTAAAAATTATGTTTTTATCTGATGATTTTAAGTCATGATGAGTTAAGTATGAAGTATGTTGCACATGTTTGTATAACAAGTTTTTGGAGGATTTGTGTTGAATGTTGTTAGAAATATATAGTTTTAAAAGTTAGTTTACTTTGTAAAAAGAAGTTCCACTGTTACTGGTCTCACAAACCCAGTTGTAGCTTAAAAGTCATAACAATAAAGCTTATTGTGTATGTAATGCCATTCATGATGCAAATAGTTATATGTGTGTGCCAACTCCATGTTTTTCTTTTTCTTTTTTCTCCATTTTGTTTGTTAATGAAGGAGCCCATTCCAGTGCATGTTCTTCAAGTTTTAATGAACCATACCAGTCTAAGCCAATGGACAATGTCCTAAAGGATCACCAACCATCTGAGAATGTGAAGGTAAGATGAAAGCTTTTCTTGCCCTTTCTTTGGAAATGCTTCTGACAAACTGGATTTCCGATTTTGGGCAACAAAAGATCCAAAGTGGCACAGACCATTATGGATGGATGGTAGCTTCCGCAATGGTGTGGACCATTTATATCTGAATGGCATTCATTGTTTTGTCTTCATGGCTATAAAAGAAAATAAATGTTGATTAGTTTGTAAGAACTCTTGACATTTATTATTACAGTTGTTACCACTGCTTTTTTTTTTTTGCCTCTAGATCTACATGATGAGTCCTGGGATGCAGATCTGGAATCAGTTGAAAAAAATTTTTTTACGACGTCCAAACATAATACATGCTAGTAAAATGCAATTTCATGACAATCAGATCTCTGCCCGTTCTCATTAACTCTTTCACTACTGAGGCCCATTCCAGGATAAAATCATAGGAAGCACATAAGCTTTATTTATAAAAGTAAATAAATTGTAGCTTATAGATAGGGAAAATTAAGTATGTTATATTTTTGTATATTATTATTATGTTGGAAATTGGAATACTAATGGTTACATTGAAATGTTTAAAATGTCCAATCCAACATTTGAGAGATATTTTTGCTGACAGTGTTTATATTGGATTCACTCACCATGGATCTCTGGATTTATTTCTCTCCTCTCCAATAGGTCTACTATTGTGGTCTAAAGGAAGCTCATTTCTAATCATATAGAGATGACTTTATTTTGCTATGAGATGACTCTTTGTTTTGAGAGTTTGATTCCCTCCAGGGAAAGTTGTTTTATCCTGTACCTCCTGTTTTCTGGGATATTGCAGCCCATTCAGTCTCAGTTAGTCTGGAGAGGCATGTTCAGGCAAACCCCCTTCCCTTGCTTCTGCTAAATTGTGTTGATGAAGGTGTGAAACATCACCAGTTATTTATTGAAGGGCGCCGTCATTTGTGTGTTCTTCTTTTTTATTATTATTCTTTTCTTTTCTTTTTTTTTCTTTTTTTCTTTTTGATTTCTTTTAGAAAGCAGGCCTACCTGCAAAGAAAGCAAAAGTTCAAGGAAAGTGTGCTTTTGATAAACAATATGAACAAAATCTGGAGCGAGCAGTGGCCCGAGGAGAAGTGTCAGTGGGCGAGTACCACGAGCAGCGGGGCAGGGCAGCCCGCAGAGGGGCCGACCATGTGGATGATGGCCAGACGAGAGTTCAAGGTAGGCTCCCCCTCTCTCTCTCTCTCTCTCTCTCTCTCTCTCTCTCTAACCAGGCATCTGTCTGGTTGTTACTGATCATTTGTTTCTCACCATGCTACTACTATAATATCTCTTTTTTAATTTAGACCCTTGGCCTACCTCTGGTTTTTATGTTCAATGCCCTATAACATTCATCTTGCATTTGCATACATGGCTGAGCAGATGGTTGGCTGGTGTGGTTTGCTCCTTCCTTCCTGTAAAACATCTATTATCCTTATCTGTCCTCCTTTTTTGTGTTTGTTATTCTCTTGTAACACCTCTATTCTTTGGAACTTATATGGCCTTTTTGTGTTGCAAGTGCCATAAAACTCTTACTACAACCTAAAACATGCTTTGCTGATCTGGTTCATTGTTTGCCAGGAGTCATCCAGAGGCTGCACCAGCTGTTCAACTCTCAGGCTCGTCTCGGACAGGAAGTGCGGCTTTGTTCTCCTACGGACCACTTTGCTGGGTCTTATGGGGACAAAGGCTGGGGGTGTGGCTACAGAAATTTTCAAATGATGCTATCGTGTCTTTTACGGAACCCCAATTATGCCGAAAAAATATTTCCAGGTAAGCCATCGCCTTTGGAATAGAAAACACTACTAACAGTAACAGTAGTTTGTGCTTTTTTTTTCTGGTTGAAACTTTGAAAAAATAAATTTGATTTCTGGAGGACAACTCTCAAAGACAGGTACCTGTGTTATCACAATACATATGTAGGTCATAACTATGTATGGATTTCAGGACCATCTCTACCCCTTTGCTTTCCGGGGATGTGCGTTCTTACCGTCAGCGCTGATTTTCAGTTATTAAGCTCGTTAGCCAGGACAGAAGTCTCATCAGGGCCCAATCATGACACCTATTCAGATCCCTGCTCCGCGATAGTGTCACCTTCCTCATCTTCATATTCCTCAATATACCCATAATTTTGGAGAATTTGCATATTTAAGTCAAATACTGAAAGTTGCTGCCTTTTTACGCTCATTTTGGTGTTTATGTTTTGCAGGAGCACTCTTTTGTCTGCAAGATTAGACCTGTGTTTATCGATCGCTTGCAAGCCTAGCAGTAAAGTAATACCAAGAAATTTGGTACAGATATGCTCATTTTTTATTCCCGAATGAAAATCCAGGCTGTGCTTGTGGCTAGATCTCCATACAAATTAATTAGAGCTAGGTGATAAGCGGGACGTACTTGTAATGTCTTATAGACAACCAAGAATAAAGATTTTTGCCAACTTCTGTGATGTCCATGGTACAGCACAAAGCCAATAACATCACATTTTCATGTTGTACAATGTTAAAAGGCAACGAAGAGGTCTGCATTATTACATTGTTTTCTAAAAAAAAATGTATTATTTTATTTCTTTGTTGACTCTTGTGTGAAAATTTTTAATGATTTTCTAGTTCAACTTCTTTGTGAGTATGTGAGACTCATTTCAGCAGATAAGTTTATTTTGATATATTTGACAGATGGACAAAGGGATATTCCATCAATACCAAGGATCCAAGAAATGATTGAGTCTGCTTGGAAAAAAGGGTTCGACCTCCAAGGCTGTCAACAACTAAAAGGTCGACTTTCCAACACTCGCAAATGGATTGGTGCAACGGAAATTGTGGCTCTATTGTCTTCCCTTAGGATCAAGTATGTAGTATTCATTGAAAAGTTGAATGCCCAATTTGCTGTATTATCACATATTATTTACTGCTTCAATGTTTTTTGTTTGTTGTTGTTCTTGTTGTTCTTCTTTTTCTTCTTGTTCTTCTTCTTCTTCTACTTCTTCTTCATCTTCTTCTTCTTCTTCTTCTTCTTCTTCTTCTTCTTCTTCTTCTTCTTCTTCTACTTCCTTTTCCTCCTCCTCCTCCTCCTTCTTCTTCGTCTTCTCTTGCACATTCTCCTTTCTTCCTCATAGCTGAATCTCCATTCTATTGCAAATTTCTTTGATGATTCATGTCTGTTTCCTCTACTTCTTTTTATTGTTTTTTTTTCAAAATGTGGTTGCCATTGTGCTAATTTGCCGTAAAATACAACTCTACAAAGAGAGCAACAGAATGATACTAATGAGACTGTTAATTATCTTGATGGAGTTGAAGTTATTGCATTTTCTTGGATGTTTGGGGTTTTTTAAAATTCCACCCCTCCCTGCCCCTTCTATTGCTGTTTCAGATGTCATCTCGCTGATTTTCATGCTCCTTCAGCTCCTGATGGAACACATCCTCGTCTCCTGGAATGGATTTGTGATTATTTCAGTGAGAGGAGTGGGTTCAAACCTCCACTTTATCTACAACATCAAGGTAACTTCTTTGAAACTGTCTTGTGAATGATATTTAGGAATATTCCAGTAATAGATATCCTTTAGACAATCCCTCATCAATTCAAAACAGATTTCTTTTTATTTTCTTTTTTTTTTTGCTGGTCCATTAGAAAAAGTTCTGTACATCATTCAGGTTGGGTTTTTTTTTTTTGTTTTTTTTTAGATAAATGAAAGTTCAAGTGTACAAGCTGCTTCCTGTGCATTCATGCCAGAGAGGCTTTCAAATAGAGTGGTTTCTGATGAAGAACCTGGTTTGTAGGAACATTACTCAGATTCTGTTGATTAGCCTCCATATCACTACCTCAGTGCTTTCTTGTCCTATCTCCGTTTTTAATAACAGTGAAAACAGTTCATAACAAAGAGTGAACTTAAGAAGAAGTCACATTTTCAACGTCTAAAAAAATGGAGATAGGAAAAAAAAGCACCGAGGTCACGATATGGTGGAATCGGACACATAGTTAAAGGTGACCCTGACACCCAAGGGAAGATTTTTTTTAAAAGTATATTTATTGTTTCTGCAAGCTCCAGGATAGGTGGGCTGATGCAGTGTTTACTCATATATATGGATTTTACAATATTGTACCGATTCTCAAAATAAGGATGACAATCGTCGTAACCTCAAATACTGTGTTCAGTGTCTTTGGTATTTGAACAAAAACCTGGTCTTGTCTATTTTATATTTCTCAAGACATGCAAAGATGCATTTTGAAAGAGTGCCCAACTATATCTGAATATCCAAGTACTGCTTTCTAGGCTTGCAAAGGTTTGAGTGTGTGTGTTTGGTTACATTGCTCTCCTGGCTGCAACGAGAAGGCCGGTAAAAGAGCCGAGTGGGTGGAATTTTCACCTCTCTTTTTATCACACACTGTGCAAGTACTACTACCCATGACTCAACAAAACATATTGCTTCTTTCAAAGCTAGGACAGTCACTGCAATCTCAAACTCTGCATTCTACTTCTTTTATATATTAACAGAAATCGACTCTTTTCTTATTGTTTTTTAAGGCTAGCAAAAATGCGTAAAGCCCCGGTTACACGCAACGATAAATAGTATCAGATTCGTCGTTATGAGAGAACTGTCCGTTTTATCGAACTGTGTAGTCTGTTTACACGTTCCAATCTATTGTCCAGTTTTCTATCGATTGAGGAGATTCCTCGTCATAAAGCCACCATGTCTCTTTGCGATGACAGCAATTTGCCTGCACTCTATGTGAAGGTTTCGAGCTCTGGACCTAATGAATGAAAAGCAAACACTTCCTCTAGATCACAGAAGCCCCTCTCCCCCTCCACCCTTCCCCTGTACATTTTGATATAACAGAACAGTGTCTTTAGAAAAGGGTGGCCATACTGTAGGCCTACTTTGTTGTGTGCAGAATCAGAAGCTTTGACTTGACTGCTGATGTGCAACGCACCGAGTGACCTTGATGCACAGCTTCACAATTGACAATCAACTAAATAATAATAAAATTGCTAAAATATAAATAATAACGCACCAAATCAGGTTCATCGCGAGCAACTTTGCTTATTTTGAGACGCTGATTCCGAATATGAAATCAGTTTTTACATACGGTAATTATTAAAAAGATTTTGAGTCCTGAGTTTAATTCTGCGCAGCGGCAAATTTCAAAGTGAATCTACGTCACAGCGCGTCTCCCTCAAATCTGAATGTGACGGCACGGAAAATATCAAGCAGCGCTTGATTTCTCGACCAAGTCTCCAATCCATCGTTCAATCGTCCAAATTTTGTACAATTTTGCGGTTACACCGAACGATTTATCATATGATCGCTAAATCGTCCTGTTTTTGTACAATTTATCGTTACGTGCAACCGGGCCTTAAGACAATTATCGAGGGGGCTGTGTGTACATTTGTGTTTGTTTTTCATCCCTTGATTGCTCTGCTGTTCTTGCAGCAATGATAAAGCTAGTTAAAGAGCCAAGTGAATGAACATCAACTCTCTCATTATGGAACTTCGTTCAGTGACTTTCCATGGCTAAATAAAATTATTTTGTATCTCCCCTGGTACTACTGGGAAGAATAAAATCTCTTTGGTTACTTACAAAGTCGCGGGCTCTCGTGGCCTTGAGGTTAAGGTGTTCACCTCTTATTCAAAGGTCCCGGGGTTTGAAAAAGAGCGACGGAAAAGTTTTCTTCTCTAAAATTGTCTCCTTTCACCTTCTTTCCTGCTCTCTCGCAATGTTCTGTCGTCTGCTTTCGTTTCCAATTTCTGTCCCCAACCCCCTCACTCCCTTTGCCCCCTCCTCAGGGCTCCTTGCTCTTCTGCAGCCTTTCTACTGCTACTCCTTGGCTCCTTCTTACTGCTGTCTTTCAGACACAACCCTGATCTTCTGGTAGGAAAGATTTACACCTAGCCTTCTCGGACAAAGGCGAAAAATCTCGGAGGTCCCATGTGCAAGTTGCGCACGCTAAAGATTCCATGGGGGTTTAAAATGGATAAGAATAGGCTTCAGCCGCCACCCAAGCAAAATTCAAATTTCCTATCAACTGAAAATCAAAATGTTTGCTGTGTCCGCATGCTCATGTGACCTTATGCAGTTGCGAGCGCCGTAAAACACTTACCAAAAAAAAAAAAGAATTAAATAAACTTACAAAGTCAGCATTTATGTTCTATTTCAGGTGCAATTTGGATCAAAATATGCCTGAGAATGCAAGATTAACATATATTGATTTCAATTTTAGATAAGACAATCTAGTGTCAAGTGCTCTTTTTACTTCCAACAGGTCATAGTCGCACCGTTGTGGGAGTGGAGAAAGAGAAAGGAGCGGTCAAGTTGCTGCTCTTTGACCCCGGCACACCCTCGGAGCAAATGGCAGCCGTCGCTCAGACCCCAATGACCTGGAAGCAGATGAAAACGTTCCGGCGCTCACTCCTTGGCTTCAAGTCCAGACAGTATCAGGTGGTGGCTGTGACGGGTTTGCTTTCTGAATCTGAGTGTCAGGTAAGTTTTTGTTCTTTCAGATGTGTTGCGACATCGTTGAATCAGACACTTGTCAGTTTTTAGACATTTGGAGTGATTGGTATAATCTTAACTCACTTCAGACGGTTCACACAACAGATGCGTGACCCCCGCGACGGTTCCCACAAGCCCTGCGTGACCAACTTTGAAATTTTTTGTTCACTCTACAAATCACGCATGGATCGCGTGGCCTGCCTCATACCCTTGTTTGGCCAAGCCTGAGCTACTTAGACTTCGTTTTGTATCTCTGGGGTCCGTAGGTTTTAAGTTATTGAAGGTGAAGGGACCCCAACTGGGGTTAAACTGACCGGAACTCGCGCTTTGTTTTTTTCTATACAGCTGATAGTAATCCGACAGTCGCGTCATAGTAGTAGTAACGGTCGAAGAAGTCGCATGAACAAGAATCACATAATTTCTCCGTTTTCGATACTTCTGTACGTTTTACTAGTTCTTGTGTCTCAGAATATGATATGTTTAATAGTTAGGATCCTGGATATATGTACCCGAACACGGCCAGAGTCGTAGTTCTAGGGCTAGATCTAGCACTAGTACTGGTGTTGTTGTTCGCGCAATGAAATCACAATGTCGTGGCGTACATGTCTCATGTAATTTAGTGTATGGGTCTGAATCAACGCACAGATCTGCTTTTATATTTTCACCAAACACTCACACATGCATACAAATCAAAACAGAACACTTTGAACTTTTATTTTTGTTGTTGTTATGAATTTCATTCTGCCTGTCACGTCTGGAAATTTTCGGTAAATCAAATTCATGCCAATTTTTGAAAAATCATACAAATTAAAGTATTAGACTTAGACAACTTTAGTTTTGTGTATTAGCTTAAGCTTGAATGTTATTTTACTGTGTCAAAAAATAATTACAATACGGTAATTTTGAGAGTTGTGGTGATTTATTGAAATACTCCCAAAAACACCAGTCTTCAACGCTTGTGACTGGTGAAAGAGTTAGTGAGTTAAAGCCTGTTCAATTGCTTTGCTTTAGATGAAAAAAAATATATCCTACTATCTTGAATAGAATGGGAGGGGGAGGGGGGGACCTTTGTGTCCGAGGTAAAATTAGCAAAAAATATGGTCTTCAAAATTTGGAGGCTTCTAAAGCTTGAATGTCCAAGGAAACTGCAAATTGTCCAGTAAAATCCCAAGAGAAATATTTTTATTGAATTATGTTGAAATAAGGTGGTTTGCCCTCCCCGCCAAATATCCAGTAAAAATTGCTCATGGGGCAGAAAAATGGTAGATTCGTCGATTTCATAATTTTTGACGAACATCTGTTTTCACCTCAATGCTACATAAATTTGGTTTAAGATGAGGAAATTTTTACTGATTTGTTAGGTGTAAGATGTGATGTTTTCCAAACTTTCAATGTTGAAAACTCATTTTCAGAGCTATATATGTAAGAATATAGAGACATACACCATCATTTTTTCCTTTAAAATTCACATTAGTGTGCTTGTCATTTTCAACATTTTTAAAATGTGTTATTGTAGTTTTTATTTTAAAATAAAATTATAAACTTTTTTTTCTTAGGAATTAAAAAAAAAAACATTACTAGACGAGGTTATCAAAATTTAAAGGGAAGAACCAAGTCTCATTAAATTTCGATTTTCAGCTACTGAATTTTTTGCTTCATATTTATTGCTTTCCATTTTTTCTTTTTTGTTTTCCTTTTCAGCAAAGCAAAATTCTGAAATCGGAAAGAGTTGTTTGAAGTGAACTTTACATCACCATTTGTAGCTGAAAGCCAAGCATTCCAGGAAAAGAAACAGACCCTCCAATTTTTCACTCTTCGTAATATGTACTTTTTGGATACCGTGGAATCATGTGTAATATTAAATTTGTGTGAGATTGCTATTTAATTGATCTTTGTCTAAAGACCTTTTTCTAGAGTTATAATCCTTAAAATTGAGAATCTTTACCAATTTATTCAGACTCTTAATTTTTTTAAAATACGTAATATGCTGTACGATTTTCTTTTCTGCATGTTCTTAAAAGTTGTATATATTATATACTGTTATTTTTCTACACATGTGACAAATTCTAAAGAGCAAAATGCAATATAATGGTACTGAACAGTGTCAGTAGTTTAAGGTACTGCAATCAGTGACATTTTGTAGACAACTGTTCTTTCTTAGAGAACAAAGCTGCCAAACAGTATTTATAAAAGATGTTTTTGGGGGACTAAATACAAAATTCCATTCTTGTATTAGAAAATATGTATTCTGTTTTCTAGTATTGCTCCTCACAAACTTGCTAATGCAAAGGAAAAATTATGAACTTTCAAGACTGGATTTGCAAATAATCAGAACAAAGCCCACAAGTGGAATGGAGAGCTCTTTTGTTAAGTGTACTTTGAAGAGTTTGAATCTGTTGAGTGCAAAAAAAGTGTGTGTGAAGGGTTGGGGGGGGGGGGGTTGCTTGGCCAATGCACACCATCTTGAGATTTTTAATAAATTTGTCAGCTGTGCTAAAAGGTTATCACAACTTGTTTTATTTGGGATTAGGATATGCTGAAAAGTTGTCGAGAGAAAAATGAAATAACCAGAGCTGCTGGGTGTACGAGGGTCACATTTGATTTTTGCTAGCGGAGTTGGAGTGGAGATGCGCTGAGAAACCTCAAATAATACATATGTTGAAGGAAACTTGTAATAAAATATGTTTTCAAGAAAAACTTATATTTACTGAAAATAAGCCTCTGAATAGGCTGCAACCTTTGAAATTATTCAAATAAACAAATCAATTAAAGCTTAAGTGCGAATGCATTCTTTCTCTGTGCGTTTTGTGTTGTAATGGTTATAATAAGGACAACTACTTTGTGCAACAGGAAATGGCAAAGAAATAAATGGATGTAGCGAGATTTTGTCTTGATAGGTTTAATTGACTTTGCAGAACAAGAAAACTTTAGTAGCCTTATTCTTCTTCTTCTCGATCGCATCACACTTGAAGTCTGGTATCTGTCATAAATTAGGCCGTCCTGCTCAGTTCATCTGTGGTCTTTATTAGTCTAATCTAGGTGTTTAGAAAACAAACATGGATCTGGAATCCGTTGACATTTAATTTTGGTTGAGATTTTCCAATAAGTAATAAGTGTTATAAGCTGTGTCTCATTATTTATTCATTTCTACAAATTTGAAGATATGTATTATTGAATTGGTTATATATTCATTTGTAGCAATAAGTCTTGTGCCAGTCTGAGTCACAGTAGAATTTTGCAAAGTGCTGCAACTCCTGTGAAAAGCATGTGCAGTTAATATAATGTATAACGCTCAAAATAAAGTTCCCCATGATGTCATTCTTTGCTTTCTGCTTCTCATAGTTAAAAAATTAGTGCATTTATGTTCATTACCATATGATACAGGAGTGTCTTTTGAAGTGAATAAGATTCCCTTTCAACATTCAGCAAAGCTTGTTGTAAAGACAACAGAGTAGTACCAAATGAGACAATCCATTTTAGTTTTAGTAGAGGTTTTACAGCGCTCGCAACTGCATAAGGTCATATGAGCGCCAGAAGATTAGAGCTGTTACAAGAGAGTAACAAACATAAAAAAGATGAAGGGAGATAAGGACGATAGATGTTTGAAAGGAAAGAAGAAGCAAACCACACTAGAGCACCAGCCAACCACCCACAATCCATTTTTCAACAGGTGAGCTTTGTAATGTCCTCCTTGACACGATTGATGTTATTTTACAGAAACACTTTCCCATGGGAGGAAAACACTCAGTAGATGTTCAAACTAAGAATGGCTATTACCATAGCCCACCATAATACCACCTACATCTGTCTGATATGTGAATTGTATCATCTCATACTTCAATTTTCCTTTTTTTTAATTTGGTCGCTTTTAAGGACAAGCAGGCTAACCCAGATTTTGGGGGTTTCCAGAAACCTTGACCTACACCAAAAGCGGGCATCGCCCTACCTATAGGGCAAGTTTGGTTTCATTGGTGTGTATATATTTCTTTGGTTAAAGAGAAAACCCTCCTTGTTTTTTAAAGAAACTGAAGATGGGTAAAAAAAACCTTAAAACTTCGATTTTCTCAAAACAGGATTTTTTTTGGATAGCCCCCTTGTGCTTAAAAACGACCATTTGTGCTAAATGCAATTGCTAACAAACAGGTTTGAGTCAGTTACGTTTACTTCAAAACCAGTCTGTTACAACATAATGACATATTTTCACCCTTGAATTAGAGCTCAAACACAGTGAACCAGTAGTAGTAGCTGACACTGACACGGTTGTTCCATTCCAGCACGGAAAACAGTCTGCGCCGGTTCAAAAACAGGTAACAACACAGTGTTGCACCCAATCCAGTGCCGTCAGTTTTTTGTCTGGGTTTTCTTTTCTTTTTTTTTTGTTGGGAGGTGGTCGGTGTTGGTGAGTAGTCACACAGTGAGAACATGTAGTACAAATCAAACCAATATGGCAGCACACAAGCTGATGCTGTTGTATAGTTTGAAAAGGGAACATGATATCATTAAGCGAAAATACTGGGTTCACAAATTTTATGAAAAGAGGGAAACATGAAGAGTTCCATCGGCGTGTTGATGAAGTTCTCATCGATGAGATGGGTTCATTGTGTTAGAGCTCAACTGTTACTCTCTGTCACCAGTCCCTGATATGGAATGTCCCAGCACGTTCAGTAAAGGATAATGGATAGAGTATAGAGGATGGGATTGCTAAAAAAAACCAAGCCTGTCTAAAGCTGGACTGGTCAGTCACTGCTATCAGTCGCGCCAATAATGTTTTACATCTCATCGAAACAATCCAGACAATTAGGGCGGGTGCTCTGGTGTGGTTTGCTTCTTCTTTCCTATCAACATCTATTGTCTTATCTCCCCTCCTTTTTTGTGTTTGTTACTCTCTTGTAACACCTCTAATCTTCAGCACTTAAATGACACTGTGTTGCAAGTGCAAAACACTTACAAAAACTAAAAAGACAATTAGGAGGCGAGCTGTTTCGACCCTGCCTATCACGGCCAACCTAAGCTGAGAGGGATATAAATAATAATGTCCCAGTCCCGGGCAAACGCATGTCTTCTGCGCCAAGCCACTACATACATCACAGACACCAGAGCGGGTGAGACAAAATACAAATGACATTCTAGTAGACAGCATGTAGGCTACCCATGACGCCAATCGGTATTATGACTGTGTAAAAGTTTTATTCCTATTTACATGATGAAAAACATGAAAACATAATTTGTAAAATCAATAGCTTTTCTTTGTAACTATAACTTTTGTTTTACTTAGTTTGACATAAAATTTATGAAAATTTAAGTGCCAGTGAAACACAGGGAAAGGATGATAATGTACAGAGACAACATCTAGACAATTTCTTTTCTGTACAAAATTTTCTTTCCTTGAGGAATGAACAAGTACTCTTTCAATATATTTCTGCCGCAAAATAAAATCTACCTCACTGATTACCAAATTCATAGCCAGGGCAGAAAATCATTCCTCTATGAAATTACCATATCATCACATTGTGTTTACAGTATCATACACAAGAAGCCACTGGGCTGGCAAAACTTTTCCTGTTTGTCATCTGCTGTAACATCTCGATACAGGAGCCATATAATATACAACCTAGCACGTACATAACAAATTTTTCTTTTATGCATATGTTTTCTATTTTTAAAATGCACATGGTGAAATTCCCACCTAACTGAAAGATTTCTATGTACCACCAATTTTGCGTGCTAGACTTCATACAGTATAACAAAGATAGCTCGAATTCATCAGGGACGCCTTGGTAGTTCAAGGGATCCGTAGTTCGAGAAATATTTTACAAAGATAAAGAAGACTTACAAATTTTTTTTTAAAAACAGACCTCAGGCACAGTTTGACAAATGCGTGATTCAGAGTCTTCTGGGTTCAACCTATCTGTGTTATACTGTATAACAAGTACAGAGCATAGGTTCTGGAACACTCTAAACAAAGAATATACTCATACTGACATTCTTCCTGAACAGTACAAAGGATACACTCAGGCTGACACTGTTCATGAACAAGACAGAAGGTATCGCTGTCCCTTACAAGCTACAGAACAAAAGTAACGTCACACACACATACACACATGCATGTCCCAACCCAAATATGTCCAATACTCAGAGGAAATGCCATTTGTACCAACAGACTATTACATGAAGAACAGCTGTCAGCACTGAGGTCAGAAGACAATAACTGACACAACTGAATAAGAAGAGAAAATAAAGGACAATATGCCCAACTCTTCATTTAATTTAATACCCTCGCAGGAAAACAAAAGTATCCCAAAAAATAGTATTTCTTTCAATCGAGAACAGTTTTCAGTCTTGGTACAAGTGAGGATGAATCTACGTCAAGTACAAAATTATTGGAATCCATCATGATCACATCATCTCAAAAGTTTTCAACTACTGTGAATTCAAATAAAACAATTTACAACTGTGCGTTGAAACAATAGCAATTCTACACCATTGGTGAAATATTTCTTATTCACTAGCCTCATCATCTTTGGCGTGACCCGATGGCCCCAAACACATGAACGAGCACAAATACCTTTACTCCTCTGTGCACCAAACTTGTACCTGAGCGTGTAGCTGTGTTATCAAGCAGTCTATGCACAGGAGCTCAGGAGCTCAGGAGCACAGGCCTGGGATGCTCGTAGAGTGAAACAAGGCCCAGAAATTTAAACACTGAACAAAGTAAAACACTACCATACATGGTGTGGTCCACACACCTGCCAATTCCTTGAGAGTACATTCCCTGAAACCAGTTACGTCTTAGTACCAATCTATTGTACTCAACAATCCCAGACTTCTCTTTCATCGCAATCTTTACTAGTGCAAAAATGCCACACACACACATTCCAAACCACTCACTCTACGGCCGATCTTCAGTCCAATAACCAGTTACTGGCTACTGTCAAGCCGATAGGTAATGTCAGGATGTCTCAAGCAGTATGTGTCAAGAGTTAATTAGTGGTGGACCACAAAATCACGGTCCAGTACTTTAAAAACTTATGAACTAGAAATATACCCAAAAAATGCCAGGGGAAAAAACTGGACAGATCTCAGATCAAGGAATCCACTTTTTCAAATTCAGATTACCATGCATGCCCCGATATAGTTGACTCTACTGTAAAATAAAATAAAATGTTTATTTGCACCCAGTGAAGAATGTAATGCCAGAATTACTTGTCAAAACTAATACACAAAACATCAATACTTATTGCACACAAAACGAACAATGCATAGTTTTCTTATGGGATTTTGTGATAGTGACAGGCAATTCTTGAAATCAATTATTCTAACAATATACTTGCAAATCACCTCAGAAAGCACTCGAGGAAATAATAGTAATGTAGAACATTAAAAATTCACCAAATGTTACATCAAAGTAGGAAAGCTCAGTCAGGAGTAAGTACCAGTTCACACATTCTCCTACAATGTGTTTTGTTTTTGTCAGTTGAGGAAAAATGGCACAGATTATAATGTCCCATTTGATGTGATTTGACAACAAAACTTCAGACACAACACTGTCTAAACTGCACAAAACATCTTTGACTGTCTCAAAGAAGCTGATCCGCACCAAAAAGCAGGAAACTACTCAAGCTACCAATACACTCACCCAAAGTCTCTATCCATTTTATGCACTCTGGACCCTGATGATGATGTTGAAAAACGTGAAGATCCATATTTGCCAGCTGTTTAGACATACTGAGCCCCAATTTATTTTTTTTAACCCCTGGTGTCAGTTGCATGTGCTCAAGAAATATTTTGTCGAAATTCAAATTCTAAATACTGATTTTTTTTAAAGCAAGGAAAGAAACATAATCTAGGTAAAAATTAATTTTTCTTCTCTCCAGAAAAATTTTGCTTTCTTGACTGAGTACATATGGACAGCTAGACGACAATGTACTGTAACAAACGGACACAAAGCTTTCACTACAAGTAGATGGGCTGGGCGTGCAGATGAGACTCCTGTATCTCTCGCACCAGCAGGATTCGGGTCAGCATCTTGTCCATGGTGTGAAGGTCCATGGTTTGAGTCGAGTACCACACAGGGCTGTCGGGAACACACGAGCGCTCAGGCACAGGGTAGAAGATGTCGTGTCGGTTTTTGATGCTCTCCGGACTGGACAAAAAGAAAAGAAAACCTCTTGACAGAACACAGAGAAAAATGTCAATCTTTTCCTTACACTTGAGGCAAACAAGCATTTTCTGCATTGGCTCATTGTTATACGAGTGTACATGCGTGTTCGTGTGGTGCGAATCTGTGTGTGTAAGCGCGTGCACATGCGTAAGCACAAGTATGTGAGAGACAGATCACTAAACTTTATCTTTTAAATTAGTCTTTACATTTAAGTCAGAACCCCCTTAAAATAAATTCAACCTCTGACTCTGAGACAAACCATTTTTCATGCAGACATCACCATATTGTAGTTTCTGGACCCCTCACTCCGAGAACAAATAAGACAAAAAAATATCGCCACTAAATCCAATTTGTAGTCAAATGGAATGAACCAAACACTAATAAAACAAACTGCCCAGCCAAAATTTACCTTTTCCACTTTATAACCCCATTTTAAAAAATAGTTCAATTATTCATACACTTTGTGCTAAACTGTTCAGCATCACAGTAGCAACAGTCATTCAGCTCCCCCTGCCTCTACAATATTGAGGCAGCATAGAGTTCATAAAAAGTGATTTGAAATTTAACAGCAGTATCACAGAAACGTTGCAACTTAATTTTTCAAATCACGGAGGTTCTGATATCCTATGTGTGTGTGTGTGTGCGCGCGCGCGCATCAAACCTTAGCAAATTTCTCCTTAGGGTTGTACTGTAACGCATGATTGGACTCAGAACTATAACAATTTTACTTACCATTTGGAAAGGAAAAACTCATAGAGCTTCACAGGGCACCGTAGAGGGTTGTCAAAGTTTTCTGTCACCTCATAGACGGGTACACCCTCTTTACTTTTCCTAGCAGCCAATCCATCTGTGAACATGGCAAACTAGAAATAGATATCTAATATCTTTTTACTAGAGCAGCATGTCAGAACATTGCGCATCTCACCAACACCAATTTTTTATAAATCAAATGAGGGCAGCAATGTGCTTTCTAAAGGAAGTTCAACTACGTAAAACAATTAACATTTTCAAGGATAGAAAATAAACTAATAGCTATGCATTCAAAAGAAATGAGAATGTTCAAAGATGATTTTTCCATACATATCAGCCAACCTGATAATATCAACTGGCACATAAAACAGCCAAGCAAAATACGCACATATACCAAATAGATTTTCAGGTCCTGAATTTTTTCTTACATGTATATTCTTTGTATTCAAAGCACACACATAGCAAAATTCATAAATAAAAAGATCTCTACATCCTGCTGAGTTCATTAAGTGTCTGCTAGACTACAGGGTGACTGCCAACCCAGCTTCTCAGTTTTCCAGGGGGGGGGCTCATCCATTTTTCAGGGGCACGTTACATAACAATGACAGCATGAGCTCCATTTATATATATGTGTGTATATATATATACATAAAATATACATATATACATTCATTGTGTACACACACACAACTACACACACACATATTTAGGTACATATCCAGTCAACAACATGTCAGTGTGGCACTGTGGTCTCAAGCAACTTAAGTATTTCAGTCTGTTATTTTGTTCTTACTTATTTACATATTCCCCTCATCATATTCGCCTGCATGTATAAACTATATAAAAATGAATCTTGTTTTGAGCCTGAGAAAAGGCCCAGAACCAGAATATGGACTGTCATGAACCAGTCTGGGTGTTATGATTCATATAATAAAGGTGAAAAACAAAATTATTGCTCAAACTCAAAGTAGAGTAATAACTTGAATAACTCAAGTTCACCTATTCAGCGTGAGAGGTGTAAAAACTGAGGGAGGGCAAGATACAGTGACACTGAAAATCTGCGAACGTTGAACGGAAAGCTAAAATAAAGATAATTTACTGTCACCCATCCATTGAAACGCGAACACTTAAGTTCAATAACACGCTAACAAGTTATGACAGATCCTGATTCCACACAAGGTCTGCACCAACACGCGCTTTACTTTGCAGAGAGCTGTAGTTGTCATTAAAATTCTAAATATTAAAAATTTGCTTCCAAGTTCAGTTTTTATTCCTCTATGTTGCGTTCAGCACTCCCCCCTCCCAGAGTGTATCTTTTAAAAAAATTAATAATCTTCCCCATTCCGGAGTCCTGTAGCATAGCCTACTTCACAGGGCTCAGAATGTGCGCAGGTTCACTGACAGGTCACAATGGCAAGCCCGACAAGAGGCTTGAATAACTTTCTTTTCTTTTTTTTCCCCACAAGTCACAACACAGTCACGGATATTGATTTATTTTCATGGCAACACCACGTTTGTAATGCACAATCTGCATGTTACAAAAGTTGCATTATCAGACTATTACAGGCAAATTTCTGAGTGGTAACGAAAGCGAAAGAAGACCTTGATTTTCCCCATCGAGCCTCCGTGTCACATTCACTTCCGTCTGCCACCATAGCCACATGTTCGCGTGAAACTTACTCAGACCGTGAAAAGTCGAATGCGTATATCACAATCATGACCAGCAAAAATGAACCTAAAGACGTTGTCCGATTTGGTTTTCAAATATTCGAGATCTTTTATGTATTTTCGCGGGTATTTCCTGAGGCAATTTACAGATTTCCTCAAATTCCCGGGACACTCCCGGGTCTCTGCAATTTTTTTCAAATCCCACAGTAATTCCCGATATTACCCGGGTCTGGCAGTCATCCTGTATACAGCATGAACACTTAACTCACCTTTCTTCCCATTAGCCAAGCAGTAGTAACGCAGAGCTACATTCTTGCTACTTGCGGTGCTGCCTTTTGTGGGCACACCCTTCTTCAAGTGTTTGAGGATCTGGGCAAAGGAAAGAGACATGTGCTCCTGGGCAGTCTTGAGGATGAAATGTTTGGTGTGGAAGTAGATGAGCGTGTTGAGCAGCACATACGGGGAGTGTGCACCCAACTGCTTGCTCTCCCACAGGTGTTCCTCTTCAATTCGGCAAAGTGTCTGACCTGAGAAGAGAGAGAGGAAGTTTATATCACCCAAAAATCATAAAAATATTTATACTATAGCTTTACTCATCTCATTGACTTAGTAAGGCCCAACTCTCCAATTCACAATTTGAACTACAGGCCAAAGAATCTTGCAAAACCTTAAATAATAATAATAATAATGAAGATCATTTCTATAGCGCCCACTCCCGTGTAAACACAGCTCTAGGCACTTTACATTAATGAACGTACAAACAATATTCACGCACGCTACACACATGCACGCTACACACACGCACAATACACACACACACATACACACACACACACATACACACTCACGAACACATAACACGCACACATGTGCATACACATGTATGCCAAACACACACACACACACACACACACACACGCACACACACACATCTACTTGCTTATCACACGCACACGCTTACACATCGTCACGAAATGAGCATAAAATAATATACACAGTGCAATTCACAAAATACATAAATGGATACATAGTCATTTACATATCATTGTACTGAACATGAAACTACTGACATAAAAAGGATGTCATTAAATGTGTCTTTAAAGATTTCTCAAATTTAGACTCAGATGTCGTATGTCTCAAGGGTTGGGGAAGAGAGTTCCAAACTGACGGAGCAAGGTGGGCGAACGATCTTTCAGCTAATTTTTTACCCCCTTTTCTAGGAACTCTTAAAAGATACTGATCGCCTGATCTTAGTGATCTAGATGGAATATAAATCTGGATGAGATCACTAAGATATGAGGGAGCTTTGTTATTGACACATTTATGACATAATATAGCAATTTTATATGACATTCTAGCTGACACGGGAAGCCAATGCAACCAGGGTTGGTGATTTTTTATTTTTTTTTATAAAAATCAAAAAAATCGATTTTTTTTATTTAAATCAGATTTTTTTAATTTAAATCGGATTTTTTTTTGATTTTTTGATTTTTTTAAAAATGTCGACACAGTTTGGGATTTTTGGTGGCTAAAAGTATGTTCTTTTAGTGCAAAATGCATTGTCTTTATTTTAACTAATGATTAATTTAAGCAACTGCAATTTTAGAAAGCCTTAATCTGCTATTATATCAGTGAATTATGGCTACAGACAAAAAATGAAGAAAATGTCAGTCTAAAAGGAAGGGGGGGGGGGGGGGTAATTATGCATAGATAAACTTGCATTTTATTTTTTATTACAGTGTGTGTGTGAGCACGCGCTTGTGTTTGTCTAAAAAGAAAAAGAAAATGCTAATTTCAATTATGAAAAAAAGTAAATTGAATACTGTATTATTTTGCTACTTACAGTGACAGGGGGGGAAAGCAGACTTTTAAGCATGATTATATTAGTCTACTAAACCTTATATCTGTTTTATAAAAACAGGAGCCAAAAACTGTCTATTGTCTATTTAAAGCCTAGATTTACTTCTCTATTAGATCATGATATACGAAAGGCCTAATATGAGTTTTTTACAATGACTTTTTCTTCACCTACCATGGCTAAATGAAATTTTTCGCATGGGTGAGATGAGAATAGTTAAGAAATGGCAAAACTTTGTTCATATTATTAACTTGTCCCCTTCCAGATCCTTACATCTATCATGAAATTAAAATACAAACTCTGCCTGAGCAGTGTGTACCATTGTGGAGGCTCGCCTTCATGGTTTCATTGAGTTAATAAAAATATTCTGCCACACAAAACACTTCTTTTCTTTTCTTTTAATTCACGATGTGCCCTAAATGACAAGAAAAATATACAAAAAATTCACATATATATATTCCTTTTGCAAAGTCAATAATACCTATATCATTACTAATATCTGTGTAACACTCAAGAAATAAAGGTTAAAGATTCCTTCTCAAACTCAGGGAAGATAAAGAATCCATTTAAACAAAAATTCTTCCAACAACATAGCAAAAATGATCAAAGAAAAAAGAAAAAATACCTTGGCTGTTGACTTTAGGTTGAAGAGTCTTCAGAACACCATGTAAACAGTCAGTGAATTTTTCAAAATACAAGTCTGTAAAGATGTTATCAATGCGCCCATTTTCATACAAGTACTGCTGAATACCTGCAAAGAAATGACAACATAAACACATGAATTTACATCTATTTGAACAACAAAGAGCAAAAATACAGTCACATGAAAAAAATTGAAAGCACAGGAGCTGACAGAGAATAAAAGACTGCATACTAGTGAAACTTTTTATCTTTTTTAAGTGAGAAACTTTCAGGTACATTGATGACACTATTAAAATACAGAACTTTTTCAGGAATGTTAAAAGTCCCTCAAGTTACAATTAAAAACATTGAGAAAGCTGTACACAGATAAGCAAAAACCTCCTGAAAACAATCTCATTTTCCAAATTTTTCAATAAAAATATTGACCAACACACAGAGACAAAAGCAATAACATATCAGGTAAATAACAACAAAGAGCAAAAATACAATCAGACGTAAAAAATTGAAAGCACCACAGCCTACTCTTATTGACTTTAGGACCTCCGAAGGATCTTCAACGTGCGCAACTTGCACACAGGAACTCCATGATTTTTCAAAAGCAAAGGACAGAACATGGTTAGAGAGCAGGAAAGAAGAAAACTTAAGAGAAAATTTTGGTCGCTGTCAGGTTTCAAACCCGGGACCTATTGAGTGAGAGGCGAACACCGTAACCTCTAGACCACGAGAGCCCCCTGCAAGTAAAATGTTGCCCAAATAATGAAGTAGGACAGGCTGCCCCGTGGCAGCCCTTTGATGCAGAACTCATTCATCTAATGCAAGTGCGATGAAAAAGCAGCGCTGTGGCACAAAAATACTCAGTATCTAAATAAACATAAGAACCTTGGACAAGCAAAGGAAATTCCAGATAAAAACTGAGATTTAAGTAGGGCTTGACCATAAAATTGTACATTAAGACAATAAAATGAGAAAACAAAGTGAGAACTCATTTTCCAGAATAAAAAAAAATATTTTAAAAATTCAACCAAGGCTGGCAATAAAATTACAATATCCACCAAAAAAAAAAGACAAACAAAAAACATGTATTGTGGCAGGGACCAACTTACCCAGGCAGAGATAATAAACACTATCTGGGGAGTACTCCTCTCCATTTGGCTTTCGAACTTCCTTAATGAACATGCACATGGTGAAGTTGAGCTCATCCGTTGTACATTTGAGAATGTCCGTGGGGAAAGTCCGGATGCGCTGAATACCTGAACTTATTTTTGTCTTCTCAATTTGAGCATTTTTGTTGATCACCCAGTGCCGCCATGCATTCACACCGTAGGTGAACTTCAGCCGGTAGTTCGCATCTGGAGGAGGTTCCAGGTTCTGATGAATAAAAAAAAAGGCAAATCCTCTGACTAGAGAGTCGAAACAATTTGCTATTTTTTTTAAATACGTACAGTCGAATTTGCTCTAAATGCCTTCTGCATAACACAATCTCCCGTACAGACAAGATTCCTATCAAACATCTATCATCCTTATCTCTCCTTTTCTGTATTTGTTACTCTTCAGCATTTATAATATGACCTTATTGTTTTATAAGAGCCCTTACACTGTAACAAAAAAAACCCCCAAAAATCAGTAAAGTATAAATGGCCACTTCCCATTTCCTTCCCCTCTTGTGGTCTTTTTACATTACAAATGACACTGTAAAACGTCCTCCTAAGATGGCCACTTTTGTCCTTCACAAGGGATGGTCGTCTTTGGCAATTTCAATTGTATTTATACACAAATATTAAGCTTGGTTCATTTTTTACTTTATGAACAGGTTAAATTCTGAGCCAAATCTCACCCCTAAATATTCTGAATGTTTTAAATAATTCTTTTAAATGACCAGCCAGCTAAAAGTGCCAAAGTCCAATGACCTTGGACTAAAATGAAAACTCACCACTGGCTGAGCAGGTGGCTGTATTTGGACCTGAGCCTCCTCTCCGTAGGATCTCTCCACTTTCTGGCGTTTGGGTCGACTGGAAGCAGGGGGTCTACCCCTGCTCTGCCTCTTTGCCCCCCGACCCCTGCCTGAACGGCTTGGAGTGTACTCTTCGTCTACTTGGGCTTCATATGGATTTACTTGGTTCAGTTGTGGAGGGGGCTCTGAATTTTTAAAAAGGGAAATACAAATGTTAAAATACAAAGACAACATAAGAACAAATTTCATTTTCAGTAGCACAATTAAGACAAAACTGAAAGTACAAAAGTTGCAGTTTTAAAACAAGATATGACATAATTTGATTTCAGCTGCAGAGGACAGGACTTTGTATCCTACGATAAGAAATTTTACTACATTTTTCTCAGCTCACACTGCTGCCATCAGAGACAGAATAAATATGTACTATGAAAGAAAGCAGTGTGTTCATAACCATTATTAGTTAACATTCCTAATGACAAAGGTGACACAAAGGAATGTACTTGTATACCAAGCGAGACATTGCAACAGTAAACAAGGCAGATAAAAATTTATACATTTTTTACGGAACATACTATTAGGATCACTAGTAGTAGTTTCATGGACAGAAAAGAAATCAAACAAGGAAGTACTGAAAGAAGCTCATGTGAACCGCTGATAAATACAGTCCGTGCCGGCTTTAAGCACGCCGGCTTAAAGCACGATTCGGATTCAAGCACGCTAAACGGCTCTTACCGAATTTTTGCTATATAAATTACACGCCTCTAAGCACGGTAACTTCGGCTTCAAGCACGTTTCATTTACAAGACAGTTAATATTTTCATGATGACCCATCGAAGTTCGAACACAGTCTACACCGCAGCAGTGGAGTGTGTCAAGAGACACAAAGAATGCAAGTGATGGACACACACACTCACGCGGGCGGAGAGGAAGGCAGATGCACACAACCGCGCGTGCGGACATAGGATCTAGCCTAGGCCTAGGGCAAAGCTACACACGACCCAAAAAAATACAAAGAGAGTCGGGGAGACGAGAAAGGGAGGCTGGCTGCGATTTCACCTTTGACCCTCGCTATCCATTAATCCTGATTGTGTATCACGCGCGAGGTGGGATGAAGGCGGTGGTATGAGTGGCACAGCGGGCAGTGGTACGCACAGGCAGTGTGTAGGCCTAGTGTGCTGTATCGTGACTGGCCATCTAAATTAAGTCCACAAAACAAAAACAAACAAGCGAACAAAAACTACCATGGCGGGTGTCTAAATAACAGTGCACACTTTTGCGGGACCGCTATAGGCCTACTTACCAACAAAGGGAAATAGCACGCGAAATTTTCTACATGAAAATCTCTGGATTATATCTACTTCGCACTCAAGCACGCTTCGGCTTTAAGCACGCTTAAGCTTTCTCCCGACGACCGTGCTTAAAGCCGGCATGGACTGTAATAACAATTTGGAAACAATAAAAACAGTTTCTAGGATACTTGACATTAAGGCTTTGACCATCTTGCTCTCACTGGAAAAATAGAAAGCAAACAAGGCAGGGGTAGACCTACAGAAACTCATTTATTTGGAGAACCTTAACAGATGGGTGACGGGAAAACACCAGATTAAAATATGATTTTTTAGAGCATCCAAGCGGAGAAAATAATTTTTTTAAACGTGATCACTGAAGTCTATTTTACATCTGACACTTTATGATGAACTGGCTACCAGAACACAGCAAAGCCTACCTGTATTGACAGCCACAGGTTCCACGGAAGATTCCAGATCTTCTATGGGACCTGACATCTCCTCTGCCATGCGCAGCGCCATTTGGATCATGTCTTCCTCGCCTCCACCTTCCCTCTTTCTCATTATCACGGTCTCCTCTTCTTTCGAAGCAGGTTTCATTTCCTCATCTGAAAAGAAAAAAGGGCATACAGAATACTCGTGTTGCCTAATCAGGCAGAATCTTCAACAATCTGAGTGCGACTCAACTTTTTGTGATACCTCAAGTAATCAACAGAGCATGGTATCATTTTAAAAAATAAAAACACTAATAAACTGACAAGATCTTTCACTGTCTATAGCCGGATACCCATTCCCACCTGGGTCAAGTGAAGAAAATTTCTGTAAAGTGCCTTTCCCAAGGACAACACGCTGGCTCACTTATGGGATTCGAAGCGAGGACTTTATGGTTGCAAGTCCGAAGGTTTAACCACTAGGCCACCGACACATATTAAAATTAGCACAAGACAATCACTGGATCAGGTTTGGAAGGACTGAGGAAAAGAGGTTGCAGTTTAGCTGAAAACTATAATTTTGTTCATAATTCTTATCCTCTTGCACATCATGCAATGCTTGTGTAGTGAACAATTTGGGAGACTACAAAAGTGAAAGTAGATCTTCATTTTATCCATCAGACAGTGCGGCATGAAACCAACACACATTATTCTGTCCATATTTGTCTTCCGTCACTTCTTACTTTCTTTTGTTGTGATTTTGACACTTCAGTGTAGCAAAACTCTTCTCAATAACTAATCAATCAGTAAGCAAACATTTCAAATATAACAACTTTGCTGAACACATTGCCACTCAAGTGAAATACCATTATGACATAATATCTTAGTTTAGTACTGTGCTCGCAACTGCATAAGGTCATATGAGCGCCAAGCAGTGGATGTCAACAGAGAAGTCCTTACAGAGAAACAGGCCTACTCTGCTCACCTCTCTAGCTTCAACAGCACAAAGTCTGCTTCAACTATCAAGGCACCCCGCAAATAGCGGGTCACAAGAGTGTGACAAACATACAAAAGAAGTAGAGGAAAAATGAAGATGGTAAGATAAGGAAAGACAAAGCAGCAGTTCCCTGTTGCAGTTCAGGCACAGTTATGAGCTTGACATTGATGAATCAGCCCATTTACAATTATAATTCTACTGTGCATAAGAACATGATTAACTCTTTTTATCCGGGCTACGAGAATACTCGTAACAAGGACCAGTCCGGGCTACGAGTATTCTCGGAACAGCGATACGGTCACGTCAAAGAAGCTAGTTCTGCTTGTAATTACCAAAATACGCAAATACGGCGACGCTAGCTCTGTCTGAATATTTTAATTTTCCAATGAACAGTGGTTTCTTTGTTTTTAATGGGTGTAGAAGCTTGAAAGATGTCTCGAAAACGCACATTCACGACCGACGAAGTAGGCCTACTTTTTGAAGTGGCGTTGGGTTGTGAGGGGGAATGATACTAATTTGATGAAAGTGACTCTGAAATAAGTGCCGTAAATTCCGTTGTGGATGATAAGAAATAGGACTTACACTCATCTAATAGCTATCCAGATCATGGTGAAGGGATCAGTACTGGAATTCGTGCTCGATGGTTAGGGCTAGATCTAGATCTATAAAATCCAATGGGACGTCGTGGGCGCGGCAATCAGGGTCAAGTTCGAGGATGGAATACACCTCAAAATCTGCATTGTGCTATTGGTGTATTTCCTAACCACATACATTTACAAAAATTACATTCAATTTCTAACATAACTGCTAAATTTTCTTAAAACCTTAGAGTAAATGTAAGAAATATAGCACTTTGAACTATACGCACTGACTTCCGACTCATACGGCGCGGCGGCCGCAGGACCGGTACAGAGTCCGTGGGGGTACGGCAAGGATAAAAAGAGTTAATGTCCCCCCCTCCACTATTGCTGCCTGTTTGCACAAAACTCGCTCTCCGGGGAATGGAGAATGGCGAGCAAAAACTACTAACACCCCTAACAAGAAAAGAACTTTCTCAATGATTAAAAAATTTGGTGCTCAAACTCCAGGACTTGTTTATCAGTTTCCCTGAAATTCCTGGTCCTTGCCTGGGCTCAGGGATATTATTCAAATTCCCAGGTCATTTCTGTGACCTGGCAGTCACAATGGATTGAAGCAAAGTGCCCATATTTAGACTGACCTGCTCCGCCAAAGTCTTCTCCACCAGCATCCTCAGAGTCTGTGTCACTGTCGCCTGTTTTGGGATCCAAGGCAACAGCTTCAGCCATCATCAGTAACTCGGCTTCCAAGGGATCAGCCGGCATGCGCTCCACAATCTCCTGCTCAACAGAAACATGACATTTTTTGTCCATTTTTTTTTACAAGCAAAGATTGTATTTTAACTAAACAAGAGAATTAGCTAAATATTTAGCAGCAAAAAATATCTCATTTGATTATACATTACAAAGTAAATAAAATCAGAGCAACCCCATTGTAAATGCAAAAGGGAAAAAGAGGTGTTGGGTTTTTTACATTGAGCAAACGCGAGTTTTTGGTCATTTCATACGGCTAAATGTACTATTTGATCATGTGACTGCTATACTGTTAACAGATCTCAAAAGAATAACACATGATATTATTCCATGAACACATATGTGCCAAAAACAACACACTCAAAGGAAACAACTCAAGTTAAATACATTACATTCCCTCTAAGAGATGAGAACCAACCTGTCAACAAACTTATACCAAACAACAGCCAGAAGTCATTCTAGATTATAATTCCTCCCGATATTCACAACTAGACGATTTTGTGACTTTGTTAGGGTGGGAAAACGATGCAGAGAGGAAAACATTTAAGTTTAATTTGTAGACTAGTAATTAGGTAGGAGTCACAACTGTTGGGTCACAAGTTTGATTCCCAGTTTGGACTTGACGTTGTATCCTTAGACAGGGAACTTTTCACAAATTGCCACTACTTTACCCCGGTGAGAATGGGTATGCATTAAACAGTGAAAAAAATCTTCTTAGTATGTTGCCATTAAGTACCGGCAAAATTGCAGCATGTACTGAATGTGGAGAATGTTATAGGGTCTCTCAGAGTAAAAATAAACTGTACACTACACAGAGCCTACTTTCTTTTATCTATACAATCTATGACTAATATTACTCTATCCCGGCATGACAAACGTTGCAACGTTCACTTTGTTTATTGATGACCCAGGACACAACATGGAGTGAGACAATAAGTAGACCTGTCAATCACTCAATGACCAAAAGATGGAAATTTCCAGAACCCAACTAGATCATGATTAGGTAACAAACCAATGATAGCAAACAAAATGTATAGCAAATACACACAAATAAAAATGTGTATTTTCACTTTATTTACAACAAGTCGCTGAAACATTGCAAATAAACACCAATAAAAATGTATTTTCAAGTCATTTACAATAAGTTGCATTCGACCTAACTGAAACAAATTTCAAGAAATAAATAAGATTTTGTCCATTTTCAATCAGGATTCTTCGAACAACAGCAAAAAAAATAAACACCACCCATTTTATCGGAGCGCTTGGCAGGTCTGCAATAAGTGAACTCTTAACTCTGCACATATCGACTACATCAAGTCAAGACAATCCAAACCTTTATCGCTTTGAGGATTCCGTTGGCAGATTTCCTGGTGGTGGGGATAAACATAGGAACCGGAATAGGGATTGGGATAGGCACCAACTGCGGTGTGGGAGCCGAGTACATTACTGTGGGCATTGGGATGTAGATCGGGACTGGGATGGGAATTGCCACGTTTTTCGGAGGGATTTCATCTGCAAAGCACATAAAAATTAAATATGAAGAACCCTGCCCTGATGGTAACTGTAGTCTTTGTGTCTACAAATTAAATAATTCCATTCCACATGTAATTGCCTTTACAACATCTAAGAACGATTCTAAAAGGACTAAAAAGTACTATGTATGGCAAACAAGACAAAAACCACTGTTGGATAAAGCAGGTGAAAAATTCACCACAAGCAAACCAAAAAAATCCGATCACAACGTTCAATACCAAAAGCATAATTTCCAATGAAACAACATCGCCCCCCCCCCCCCCAAAAAAACAACAACAAACAAACAGCGTAATCTCATTACCCACCCCCTTTTCTTTGAGCAAATCCCAAGCAAACTTCTCACCTGTTTGGACCTCTTTAGGTTGTGAGTGAGGACGACAAGACGTCGCCTTGGTAAGAGTCAAGGGCCGACATTGAACTAATTTATTCTTCATGACTTTTGCTGGTGGCTCTTGAACTACAATATGTTGCTTTGCATCTGCAGAAGGCACTCTGTTCAACTGTGGAGTAACAAAAGCAATAGACAAAGACTGTAAAAAATAATAGTAAATGTTTTACATCCCTATCAACATCAATTTAGTCAACATAAGGAGCAGGCTGCTTCGGGCCCTGTCTGGCAGCAATGATAGTACATAACAAGATGGTTCACTCAGCCAAAAAAGTGTCCGCAGGAAGTATGCTCTTTGCTTCAGATGGCGCTGCAGTCTGTTTTGAAGCTCTCTTTCGTTTTTCCAGAAGAAGAATAGGAATAGCACCTCCTTGCGTGCGCAGATCGACTGCTGTTCATCAGCAGTTCGGGTACGTTCAGTGCGTAGTTTTAGGGTTTTTTATATTTTAATGACCTCTCGCCTTTCATTCTAAAGTCAAATTAAACGAAGAAAACCATCACCCTTTCCTCCGGAAAAGGTTTTTTGTCAGCGTAACCATTTTAAAAAAGCGTTCTTCCGAAATTTATCCCAAAACATGCTAGTTTCACTTTGATTTTTAAAAACTCAAGTAGGGTAACTCTGTTCGCAAAGAGTGCGCTTTTGTGAAGAGGGCGCCACCAAATTTTGAGGACACTTTTTTAATTGGCTCAAAGAGAGAAGTGGCCCATCTTGTTATGTACTATCATTGCTGGCAGTGCAAAGCCATGAAAAGTAGATTACAGTATTCTAATAGAAAAAAGGAGAAAATAAAATATTCCCCCCATACGAGACTCATTCTCACATCTTTTGCATACAACAACAAAAAGTAAATCCATTATACCACAGACACCTGTGCACTGAATAAATAAGGTAACACTTCATCAGCTCATGATCCTGCACATAAATGATGTAAACGGGAAACAGGAAGCCTCAAATTGGAAAGTCACCACTACAATCAAAGTAAGCCAAATTTCGACAACTTTTCAGATCAACATCCAAAAATGCATCATGACATTGCTTGGGCCGACCAACAAGCCAACCCTGAAAAAGTAAATATTCATAAATATTATATCTAAACCGTACAAGACTAAGTACCCTTAGCAAAAAAGACAACTGTCATAAAGGGAAAAGCAAAACACAGCAAAATAAGTTAGCATTTCACTACAAGCCAATAAAACATAGAATCAATTCCCTCAGTAATCGACTTTCAGTAAACAAAATTTGAGCACGATAACATTAAACAGACAGCCTTCATAATTTCATTCAATTGTAACTCAGAAAAAAATTAGCCATGCATGAACAAAAGAGTAAGGGAGCAACAAAAAGGCCAGTCTTCAACCCAACCCATGGAAATGTGATGAAACATGATTTCCCTAAAAGTTATCAACAGAACAAACTTAATATTTCACTCACCAACAAAAAGTATACTTCTGAACCACTACCTCAACAAAATCAACATACAAAATCCAACAATGTTTTCCTTATGACAAACCTCCCCATACCTTGTGACACCTGCTCTTCTAGAGCCTTCCCCAGCAGGGCCTCAGGAAAGCTTCTTCCTCCTGCTTCAATAAAGAGAGAACGGCTGCTAAACCTACAGAAAAGTACCTTACAGACACCTCAACCACAAAGCTTGGCTATAACTGAAATAATAAGAAAAATAACAGTACCTCTGAATTTGAATGAAAAGGAACTGCTGCAGCAACTGGGGGCAATGTTATGGCTGTGGAGTAGAAAAAAAATCTGAATATCGTCCCTGACAATGTAATATGAAAAACAACAAAATCTTAACAAAATTTTCCAACACTGCCTTTGACACAAATTTTAAACTCTATTTTGTTTTCTTCAGATAAAAAAAGGCACTATTTAATGTCTTCTAAACATTTTACAATAGCAATCCAAGCTACTTGAGTTGAACTGAAAGAAACACATCCTGTTATATTTTTTCACAATTCAAGCTGCTTGAATTTGAACTTTTTGCAAAGTATTCATTAACTTAACTTTAGCCTATCTCAAGTTTCAGTTGAATGTAGTTTACTTGTTCAACAATTTTTCTACTTTAAAAAAAGGTATCTGAAGAAATAAATATAAAAATGCTCAAATCTTTTTAACCTTAAAAAAATCCCAAAAATATTTACCCCTGAGAGCGACACGTAGAGATGTTGGGAATGACAGGCACGTTCATTGAAACAGTAAATGTCATTGTTAACCATCTTTAAAACAGCAAGTTTATTCAAGCTTGATGCAGTGTGCCTCTTAACATTAAGAACTAAAAAAGTCCAAAGACCAACAGGATCTCAATGCTTCCAATTTGATTTATCACAATTACAGACAAGAGGACTCGAGACAAAATCTTTACGCAAATGAACATTCTTTTTCTGACAGCTCTTTGTAGTAGGCATAAGGATTTACAATATTACCAAGCTACAAACCTTTTTGAGTAGCTGGAGCTAGGGACACTACACTGGAAATGACAGGAATGGACGGCCCTTGGGCTACCGGTGCTGGCGCATTCTTTTTGGACTCTAGAGGAGACAGACAACAAATACAGATAAATCTCTCTGTAAGAAAATTATATGTTTTCACCTGACATCCAATCGCAATTTGATAATCAAAGTGTGACCATATCCCCAATATGAAAGATATTGAATTCTGGTTAAAATATGTCAAGTCGGCAGCACAAAAATATAAAATACAGTTTAAAAAATCAATTCTGTAAATATCAATCACAAAAAAAAGTAATAGAGAGTGAACACAAACAACACAAAATCAAAACTGCAATCTTTCATTCACAAAGCAATGTTACTTCATCATCACCATCATTGCCTTTCTCACCCTGGATCAAATTTATATGCCACGAACAAACATTTTCCACCTTTCCCTATCCTGGGCTAGACCCTAGATGTCACTCCATGTCTTCCCACTTTTCTGTACATACATTTCTGTGACTCTTCTCCAGGTTCCACGTGGTCCTCACCTTGATCTTTTACCCTGTGGATTCCAATGTAACACTTTCCTGGTTATGCAGCTGCCTGACTTCCGGAAAGTGTGTCCAATCCATCACCAACGCCTTCTTCCCATCTCATCTCTGACTGGGCCTTGTCTCGTTCTTCTTAATACTTCATCGTTGGTGATCCGGTCAGTCCATCTGATCCTCAGTAGCTTCCTCAGACACTTGTTCTAAAAAAAAACTGGATCCTCTTTATGCACATCTAAATTGCTTTCCACGTCTTACATTCATACAATAAGACTGACTTCACATTTAAGTTGAAAATTCTCAGCTTTGTTCGAAGTGAGATATCCCTGGTCCTCCAGATCCTGTTCAAAGAAAAAAACGCAGTCTGTGCCTTTCCAATGCCGGACTTTATTTCAGCACCTGTTACTCTCTGTCAATTATACTCCCAAGATAGCAGAAGGATTCAACGTCTCCTAGTGTATTTCCCTCTACTGCGACCTGCAACTTTCATAGTGCATCTTCACCAAAATCCACCAAAGATTGAAATCTGTTCCTCAATTGCAGTTGAAACTCCTCTTTCTTGTGTCCGTCTAATAGACTTACTTGGAACTTCATTCTTTTGGTTCCTGTTCTGGTTCCATGTTTTTTTAGATGAAGCTTGAGTTTTGCTAACAGCAGATGATGATCCAATCCAACGTCTGCCCCTCTCTGTACTGTGACATCTTCCAGTGAACCCCTGTACCTACGAGAGATACCAAAATGATCGATCTGGTTCTCCGTTACTCCATCCAGTGATACCCATGTAGCCTTGTGGATCCTCCTGTGGGGAAAAACAGAGCCTCCAATGACAAAACTGTCGAAAGTACATATAATTGCAAATCACTCACCATTCTCATTCATTTGTCCCAAGCCATGTTGTCCCATAATTCCCTCATAACCTACGTTGTCCTGACCAATCTTGGCATTGACATCTCCCATTGTGATGTTGACATCTTTCCTTGGTAGCTTGTCAATGACCCCCCTCGAGCCGGCATGTAAAAAGCATCCTTGTCTTCATTTGTTGGGGCGTAGATCTGTACTATGTTAATGTTGATGCTCTTACTACTGGTAGTGAAAGAAGCCATGATGATCCTCTCCCCCTGTGGTTCCCATCCTCTAAGTGACTTCTGTGCATACTTACTCAAAATAATTCCAACGCACTCCGCATGGTGCTTGTCTTCCCTCCCAGAATACAATATTTGTTCCCCTGAGCTGAGCTGCTTCTGTCCAGACTGTATCCAGTGGGTTTCCCAGACTGTATCCCGTACGTTTCGCTGACTCCTAGTATGTGCAGCCTGTAGCTCTTCATCTCTTGTGTCACTTGAGAATTCTTTCCTGCTTCATACATGACGCGAACATTCCACGACGCAATCTGGAGAGACTCGTTTGACAGAGAAGGTTTCGGGTCAGAAGAGTCCTTTCGGTTTTGTCTGCTGTCCTTCATTGTTCCTGCTGATACAGAAACTCCTCCGTCCCCCAAGATGGAAAAATTATAAGGCGTGTTTGTTTATGTTTCAATAACTTTCCGTTTATACTGGGTCAGGTAGTTGGCCCTCCGCAAATTGGCACTTTTTGGGGGACCAGACCTATGCATCTTTGGTTGCCTTTTACAACACGCTGTAACACGGCAGGTGTACTTTTTACTGCAGGGGTGAATGTAACTAACAATCTACAATTAGTTTAACCTAAGAACTCACTTTGTCTTGTGCTCATTCGTCCACGCGGTTTTCCCCCCGTTGCTGCTTTCTGCGGTTGCTGTTGTTGCTGCTGCTGCTGACGCTGTGGTGCTACCGAATTTACTGGACCAAGAGAAGTAGTCTGAGGTTTTGCAGCAAACTGAGCTTGGAATGCCATAACACATGTGTAAGAACAGAAGTTGCGCACCGAAGCATCACTCATTGTCAGGTGATACTGGGCAGGAACAGTCTGAAGAGAAATTTAATACAAATGTCATGAGAGAAATGCCAAAAAGTCTTAACTCTTGTCCTGCATCTGTGCTGAGATGCGAATCTTATCAGCAACCGATTACGTCAGACGTTCCGGGCAGGCCGCCGGGGTCACTCAGTGTGTACTGTTGGTGTACAGCGCCCGCCGGGAAACGTGTTTTCGCCATGAATACCGCAGGAGTGTGTTAATCAATGATGAAAATAACGTTCTATCTTTCAAAGCTTTCTATTTATAAAGTGTTACATACACATGAATAACCCCCTCTCACAAGCTGATAAGACATTACGAGTAGTTACGCCCATTCGAATAACCTTTTTAGACGCTCTTGTTGTTATGAATGACCTGAGGTTCGAAAGGGGGTAATATAGGTCAATTTCCGAATGTTTTGCACTCAAATTGTTCTTTGTACCTGCACAATGGTATTCAAAACAATCAAAAAGCTTATTTTTTATCAGGTAGTATCATTTCATACAAAATTAAGCTCATTTGAAAGATTTTGTATAGAAAAATGGAAGTCTTGTTTCCTGACAATCCTTTCGAGCTCCTCATGTCTAAGTGGGTCAATTTCTTCTGTAATTTCATTCGACGAACATCTAGAGCTACCAACTTGGCATGTTTTGAATGAGACGTATGTCTCGATTACGAACCAACGCAGGCAGTTATAGAAGAAGGCCACAAACACACACAAACTCAAGCAGACTGACGCACACACTCTTGACCTGCCTGAATGGGGATCCAACTCGGGACCCGAATTTCACGTGAGATGATGCGCAGTGCACATTCGCTGAGCCAGGGGCTAGACTGACTCGGGACCAGAACGCAGGCGAAGTGCTGAAATAGGCTTATCGGGCGACATAAACCCGGCCCCCGCAGGATGTGGGTTAAGATATCAATCCCATTAGAGCCATCATATTTAAAACAGACTGACCCAAACTGAATTTTTTTTTTTTACCCAAAAGATCACAATATTTGCTATAATAATGCATTTTTAAAAAGACAACATGAAAACATGAGAAGGAAGGCAGCTAGGGCCAGTGATACCTCTCATACACCTCCTGAGCAGCAATCATAACAGCTCAAATAATGGAGAATTAACAAAAGAAAAGAAAATTGAGATTGATTTAAAAAAAACTCCTGCAACACTACTTCACTCAACGCACTTTTCACAAGAGAACAGCAACCAAAACTGGATGCATCTGCTCAATTGAAAACAATTAACTTGTTGCCAAAAAAGTGCTATGGGTACGAGAGAGACATACTGTCCAACAAATCAAATAATGATAATCTTTGAAGCTTTGAATATGAACAAGACCTAGCGATTCAAAAGAGGACTCCCATTTTTCTCGCATGTAGGCACACACGCACGCACAAACCCCCCCCCCCCCCCTGAAGGTAGGCCTAATACACCCCTCCCCTTGCATAAGGGGCAGTCCCTGTGATACTACTAAAAGTGGAAAAACACAGTAACATTTATGCTTAGATGTGCTATTTACTCTGGCAAGTGGTAGCAGTTTTCTTCCTCATTCTTCTTCCACAGCGCATTAGGCCCTGTGATGCCCCTTCAAAATAATGAAATTGTTTCTAGGAAGGCATTATAGTAGTACTCCTGACAAAAAGAACAAAACAAACTTTAAAATAATTTATTTTTCATCACCCCCCCCCCCCCCAAAAGGGACAATGACAAAAGTGCTCACCTTTTTGCACTGGTCACAGGAGACAGCCTGGCTGGACTTGGCCTGGAGGTTGACACGATAAAGAGACAGGCAGTTAAGCGAGCAGAAGAGCTGGTACTTGCTCTCCACATCCAGCCGCTCTATCATGTCAAAGTTGGGCTTGCTGGTGCTGCACCAGGAGCAGGGCACCATCTTTGTCTTCAGTACGCGGAAACGGTTCACACACGAGTCACTGCAAAAGTGCCTCATCTGCCCCTCAAACTGGACAAAGTGGGCCTGCATCTCCTCTGCAGTGCACAAGTTGCCACAGCTCTCGCACCGGTTCATGCCAATCTTGTTGGTGTACTGGAAGGCAGAAAGGCACAGGTCGCTGCACAGTGCACTAGTCTTGTCGCCAATGCGAACTGTGTGCTTCATCGCGCCCTTCTTCAGGCACACTGCGCATGCCAAAGAAGTGTCACCTGAAATAACTGGAGCGTTCTTTGCATCCAGTATCTCAACATCGTTGAATTGCTCTTCCATTTTTTTCAGGCACTCTTTAGAGCAGAACTCCTTCGTTTTCGAGCCCCCCACAGTCTTAGTTACAGCGTCGGGAACTGAAGATAAATTTTTTTGGCAGAACGCACACAGTCTCAACATCCTCCTGAACTCACTGTAGCATTTTGACTTGCAGAAAGGGCGGACTTCATTTCCAATCTTCAAGCAAAATACAGTTCTCATTTCAACGGGAACAAATGCGTTGCAGAAAGAACAAGTGCTGGCTAAATTGGCCTGAAATCTCCCCAGACAAGCCTCTCCACAAAAATCCAGCCCTAGCCAGTTGCAGAATGGGTATGTGTTCAAGTTCATCAGCTGACACACTACACATGTCTTGTAGCCTGTGGTAGCAGAACCAGGAGGGGAACTCAGAGCTCCCTTGAGTGCTGAAGACTCCATCTGTGTGGTTTTGGTTTCTGCTGTTGTTGCCGCATCCTTTGCCTTCTTGCCAGGGTCTTTGTATTTCAGGAAGGAGCTGGGAGAGGAGCGGAACTTCTTAAAGCAAGCATCATCACACAAGTGCTTCACATCTCCATTTCGGACGATATTGTACTTGCACCGACCCACCTGATGACAGAAAGAATCAAAGGAGATCTATGTCAAAGTATAGACACCAAACTAAATATATATATTCGTAACTCAGTTCTGATGCCAAATTATTGAATTTGCAATCCAACGAGGCAAAACAAAAAAGTTCTGAAAAGGCGATAAAGTCTATTTACTGTAGCAAACTACAATAAATTATTAAATATAGCAATTGTATTACTATTACATGGACAACACATATCCCTAAAAAAAGAAAGTGTGCAGGCTCTAGTAAAAGGAGAAGAAAAAAAAAAAAGAAGAAAGAAAATGAAGATTATTAAATTTCTTCTATAAAAACACACTGCAGTCCAAAAAGGACCCCCCCCCCCCCCCCCCAAAAAAAAAAGAAGAAAACTTTAAAATTCTCTTTCAGAACTAGATCTACTAGTGTTCTACCTGCAAGTATCAAGAGTACTTGGCAGGTCTGTTTCCTTGTACTCACTGCAGCTGACATTTTCTGGCATGCATTGGCCTACATGCTACATGAGCCCATCATCACAGAACATAAAAGGTCAACTATTACACAGCAAACAATTTCCTCTTTAGAGATAAAAGTAGAGATGCTGCTGCATGGCATAAAATTCCATTTGACTTATTCAAAGCAGCAAGATTACTGTAAAATCATACACCACAGAACTCACCTTCTGACAAACAATGCAAGTGTGAGTCTTTGACTTCCCAGATTTGCTCTTAGACCCACCTTGTTTCTTTTCTGAAGTACAAATTTTTTTTTTAAGGAATTAATATTGGATACTTTGAGCGTGTGTGTGAGTTTTGTGGTACTGGCCACACAAATAGGTCATACAAGAGTCAAGAGCCAAAATTAAGTGTTACGAGAGAATAACATTTTTTTTTTAAAGAGAGAAAAGTAAGCGAGAGAGGGACGATGATGTTTGACAGGAAAGGAGCAAACTACACCAACTACATGTGTACGTCTGTGAGTAAGCGCCCACCTTTGTGATCCTGAGAACACATAATTACAATAAAAACAACCCTTGCCATCTGACAAAAGCGGTAATGATTGAACTCCATTAAGACATTGAAACTGAATACTGTACAACCATCTTTTGAACATGAACAAACTACCAAGCTCGATCATATTTCAAACTTTGTAAACAATAATAATACAAAAACTAAAGACCGCTCTTCAATAATATTTTGACCTAGAGCAGCTCAAACAATCTGTCCCTTGTAACTCCCTAAAACAACTATTTGCATCATAATATGACAAGCCCAACCACTGAATCTACATGTAAAATTTATTTTATGTATGAAAAAAAAAAAATCAAATTTATACAACAAACAGTGAAACAGACTGAAAACAGATTTTATTACTATCAGAAAAGACAACAAGATTTACCTTGAGGTTTTGAAGACGTCTGAAAATGCAAACAAAAAAGAATGTTAAGATAAAAACTTAAAGATCGTTTTACAGAAATTTCCTTGTTATTAAAGTACAAATAACATTTTTGCAACCATTTCAGTTGATTACAAAAATGGCTTTGCAGAGACACTGGCCCACCTATACTATAAGTGACAGTTTTGGGAATGAGAAATTCTACTATTTCAACACCAAGGCAAAATAGAAAAAAAACAAAAAAATTATTATAATCAAAAAGCCATGAATGAATCAAGAATGATAATATACGCTAAATTTATTTATCACCAAGTTACATTGTAATCTGATCTGGAGAAAATAATAAAGACTATCAAAACATACTGATAACCAATAAAGTCACACAAATCAAATGTAGGAGAGCAAAAGGAACCCATAAAGTGAAAGTGGTAAATCAGACAACAAAACTTTGCTTAACTACAAGTTATAAATAAGACTGGTCACCATAAAGAAAAACAAGAAAAATCGTGAAAACAATCGATAAGATAAATACAAAGGAAACAATTCAGAAGTTGATTAAAAGTTCTACTGATTTAAATAGTAATAGTAATATATAAATGTCAGTTCCAGGATAACAGATTACTGACATCCCAAATCATTGTAAATAGTATATTAACAATTAAAGGTAAAGACAGAAAAAGAGCTCACCTCACTGTTGTCTGCACTGGCATGGAGCATGTGCTGTTGACCAGCGACAGAAGAAATCATAATGCCAAGGCCATTCTCTTCAGCCTTCGAGTCTTTTGATTCTGCAACCTCAGCTTTCACTGGTACAACAACAACATCATCATCATCATCATCAAGAACCACAACATCATCCTCTGGCTCTGTCTCTTTTCCGACTTTTGGCTCTGGCTCCTGTTTCACTTCAGATTTGACCACACAGCTCTCTGAAGCTGATGTATCCATCGAAGTTTCTTCTCTCTCTTTCTTAACATCAATAATTTCAATGTCATCATCATCGTCAGTGGGAGCTGTCTTGTTCACATCACTGACTTTACCGTCTTCAGTTGTCACTACACTATTACTGTCATTCCCAAGACTTACTTCTTGGTTAACCTCTGTGCCCACAGCAACCCCATCTTCAGACACCTCCACACTGGAACTTCCATTTCCTTCTGTTAATTCAGAAGTTTCTTTTGGTTCACTCGATTCCTCTTCAGACTGTTTCTGTTTGGCACATGTCAGTTCAACAGAAGAGTCAGCTTCAGGAGACACATCTGAAACATCCATCTCCCTTTCATCCACTTTGTCACCCATATCTGAGACAGATTCATTCTTCTCAGAAGCTGCAGCAGAATCTGATGTCGCTTCAGCGTCTGGACCTTTTTCTGACGATGATTTCTGCCCCTCATTCTGAGATGATACCTCTTCTTGCTGATCAATTTCCATTTCCTCATGACTGTCCATTCCCAAGGTCCCCTCTGACTCTTCCGTCTCTTTAGCATCCACACATACATTTTCCTGAGCAGTGGTCAAATTACATTTCTCTTCATTTGGTTGAGGAACAGAGTCAATTTGAGTGACAGAGTCTTCCATTGGTCCATCAGAAGTTTTGTCAGCAGCCAGGACTTCAGGCTCAGACATTTGTTCCCCTTCAGTTTTGCCACTCGCATTAGCAGAGATTTCCGCTGACATTTCTTCCACAGCAGAATCTGTTCTGGTACTTCGATCTGGGTTATCTTCCATACGAATATCACCGGTAACCGATGTTCCCGAACAAGAGGTTACAGCACTTTCATCCACGACAGAATTTTCACTTTGTGCATCCTGGCTAGAAGCTACAGGGGCGACAGGTGCTTGACCATCAGTTTCAGCGAATCCTTCATCATTACAAGGCAACATCTTTTCTCCTGGTGTCTCGTCTTTCACTTCTGTATCTGGCGGCTCAGATTCTTCTTCAACTTCTGTTTCTGTGGGAGTAGCAGCTGTTTTATCTTGTCCCTCATTGGGTCCTGATTCTGAGTCAGCAACATCATCTTGTACCTCACTGGGTCCCAATTCTAGCTCACCAATGTTATCTTGTCCTTCATCAGGTCCAGACTTCGGTTCGGCAATGTCATTCTGTCTTTCATTGGGTCCTGTTTTCAGTTCAGCTGTGTTATCTTGTCCCTCATTGAAACCTATTTCAGGAGATCCTGTTTCAGGTTCAGCAATGTCATCTTGTCCTTCACTGGGTCCTGTCTCAGGTATGGCAATGGCATCTTGTCCTTCACTGGGTCCTGTCTCAGGTACGGCAATTGCATCTTGTCCCTGTTTGGATCCTGTTTTCAGTTCTGTATTGTCATCTCGTCCTTCAATGGGTCCTGTTTCCGGTTCACCAGTGCTATGTAGTCCCATTGTGGATCCTGTTTCTAGTTCCGCAGTGTTCTCTTGCACAGCACTGGGTCCGGTTTCCAGTTCAGCGGAGCCATCTTGTTCCTCAATGGGTCCTGTTTCTAGTTTAGCACTATCATCTTGTCCCTCATCGAGTCCCTTTTCCATTTTGGCACAATCATCTTGTGCCTCACTGGGACCCATGTCCACATCGTCTTCTGCATCAAGATATTTACTATCAGACAATGTAACAGGGTTATTTTCTCCTCTTTCATCATCTTTCTCAAGAACTAGATCACTGGAGACATCAACAGACATTTCTTCTGTCGATGCATTAATACTGTCTGCTTTCTGATTGTCAATTACGATTCCACCACCTTCAACTGATGCCTTAACATCTGTATCCACATGAGAAATTTCGACTGTTTGTGGACAGTCTTCTTCATTACCTTCACTTGCATCTTTTTCTTGTGATATTGAACTGATTTCAGATGGCCCTTCTCCCTGTGCTGTGCTAGAGTCTTTATATACTTGCTCATCTTCCATTTGCTTAGACAACTCAACATTGCCTGTAAACTCGATACTTTCCTGACCGACAGCCTCCTGCATACAACATTCCTTCACACTGCTGGCCACCTCTTTTTCCGCTTCATTATCACAACCCATTTCTTCATCAACTATTTTCTGTCTTTCCTCGGACCTCATGCAATGACTTGAACCATGTTCAAGACTTCCCGTCACAGGGCCAACCTCTTCCCTCTCAGATACAGTGTGTCCAGCGCTGTCACCATCAACTGTCTGACCAGGGTCTTCATCATCAGGTAATAAATCTAAGTCATCTTCCCACGTGCCTCCCTCATCAAGTTCCATTTTCTCAGCATCATCGCCTGCAACTTCCGTCTTTTTTGGAAGAAGGGAATTCTTATCCTCTGAAGAGCTGCTCGTGACTGCAGTTATATTGTTGTCTCCATTGTCATTCTCTGGCAATTCTTGGACCTGTTGTTCCTTAAGATTGTCATTTGTTTCACCAGAGCAAGTCAAACTCTCATCCTCCCCCAAAGTGACTTCAGACAAAGAGTCACCACACTCTACCTTTCTTTCACTTGAGTCTGTGGCACTGTCAATACACATTTCTACAGGGGCATCTTCCTCCACAGCTTTTCCAACACGTTTCAACTCACCAGAATCTTCATTCTCACCTCCAACCAAAGTTTCATAGTCTAACGGTTCAATTTGAGAGTCTTGCTCTGACCCTGAAGCACTAGTAGCTGGCTCCACCATGGCAGTCTCATCTGTTTTTTCTGGCCTCTGACCTCCTAATTGTGAAGTTTGTCCCTCAGATGAGTCACGAGCTGTGTCACTATATTGACTGGTACTAGGAGGCAAAGGACTCCCTCTGCTGTTTATATTTGCACTGGAATTTTCATCCCTGTCAGGGGGTGCTTGAGGCAAAGGAGGACGACCTTCAGTCATCTGTTCTCTCATGTTTGACTGAGACTCCAGATTAGAGTTATTCTCATTTTCCATAATCGCCTCTTCACTATCCATCTTGAGTCTTCAGATATCTGAGGGAAAGCAAAAGAGCAATAATCAACAAGAAGTATACATTTTTACTCATTTTGTAACATCATTTTTTTAACCAACGTCACACAGATATTCTTAAATATAACTGTTTAGTACTACTGAGTAAGATTATGAGAAGCAGCACTAGGTAAACATTAAAAATGCCAGCACAAGGTTATAGACGTTCAGTCAAACCTCGTTGTACTGCCAGCCCTGCTCACCATCAGGTATTGCCAATCTATGAAAAGCATCCCCTATATAAACATAGTATTCCGCTTAACACCGCCATCTGCCAACTGTCTCAGTTGTACCGTCCTTATAAAACTACTGTTAATTTACCCCATTGCACCGTCAGCGAACTGGCCACCAGAAGAACACATTACACACTAGGGGGCACACAGCGCATCTACTCAGAGGTTGCTTGACAATCAGGCAATATGGATAGATATGCAGTGATGTAGTGTGTCGCAAGCGAACACAATACAATGTGTAATGTACAATTAGAAAAAAACATAACTTTGTAATTCAATATCAAGTTTCGATCCCTGCCTGAATCCGACTAAATTTGAGGCGATGATTAGGAAAATACATTCTAATTAGGCCTTGGTCAATACCATTTATAAAAAGGAATTTAATTTTTCAGTCACCCGGAGAAACATTGGAACCTCCAGGCAAAATATTTAGCGTCGCCAGATATAAGGCCCAATAAATTACAGGCTGGCGAATGCCCGTGGGGCTTTTATTTAGTGAGGACTCACACTAACAACTGCATAAGGTCATATGAGCGCAAAGGGGTAGAAGTCAACAGAGAAATCCAAACGGGGAATCAGGTTCATTCTGCTCACCTTTCAAGCCTCAACAGCACAAAGTCTGTTTCGACTATCAAGGCACTCCGGAAATAGCAGTTCACAAGAGAGTGACAAACATCCAAAAGAAGTACAGGAAAATGACAATAATAAAGATGAGGAAAGAAAAAGCAGCAGTTCCCTCTGTTGTTCCAGCACAGTATGAGCATGACATTGATAAATCAGCCCATTTACAATTCTACCATGCATAAGAACATGTCAATACCCCCCCCCCCTTTGGGAATGGCCTAAAGACACTTCAGTCAGTAGCACTGTTCTGTGGGGGTGGAGGGGGGAGAACAGATCGAAGGGAGGTAACTCATTAGTTTATCTAGTGATTGGTAAACAAGTTCCCTTGACGTTGGACAGTCTGATTTACTATGTATAACTCCAAGGACAGTAAAACCTTGTTTTACCGCCAACTTCATGCTTGTACGAAAGTATAGCAATGACCACGAAAATCCTTTTTTTGCCATAAAGTGTTTGCAAATAGGTGCATTTTGTAGCTCTATCTTCACAGCGCATGGAACTTTTTGAATTTTTGAAATCCATCAATAAACAAAAAAGTTACGGATTTTTTAATCAATTAATTTCTGGTGCACTTTTATTTATAATGAAAAAACCCCCAAATATGGGACGTTCTTTGGTGAGTTTTGAGACAATATTCGTCATAACTCGCTCATTTCTCGGAGTATTTAAAAGAAACTTGACAACACAGTACATTTTCTAGTGCAAAATCTAGTCCTGCTTTCAGATTTTTCATAGCTATCCTATTCTTTGAGTTATGAAGACGTTTATGGGTAAAAATGTGGCCGTTTTCAGTGGGTTTTGAGACCAAATTTGTCATAGCTCGCCTATTTCTTGGAATATGTAAATGAAACTTGGCAGTCTAATACATTTTTAATGCAGAATCTAGTCATGCAGTCAGATTTTTAATATCTGTCATACTTTTTGAGTCGTAAAGACATTGACAGGTAAAAAAAGTGGCGTTCTTTACAGATTTACAAAGATTATCAGTCATATGTTCTCCCAAAGTCATATTTGAATGAAACTTGGTAACATAAAAGGTTCCTCCTTGCAAAGCAATGCTCTGGATCAATTTGTCACAAAAATGTAAGTAGAGAGCAGGACTTATTAGTCTAATAAATCCAGTTGTCTACATGTAAAAGTATACTCACTTTGTAATAGAAAATAAAATCGTCTCTGTATCCATTGTGGGACAGTGTCCTATTGTGTGGTGGATTAAGATGCGTTTAGATATTATAGTTTACAAGTAATGGGAATATTTCGCATGTGTAGGCTACAACTCAAACTATACATGTAACAGATATTTAGACCCCCCCCTCCTTCTCTCTCTCTCTCTCTCACACACACATGCGCGCACGCCTGCACTCACGCACCCGCGCATGAACGATAACAATGTATAAACGGGACTATCTTCCCAGACTGGACTAAATATACCACACTCTTTAAAAACAATCTTACTGCCTCACTTTTCCAAACAGAGCAAACAGGATGAGTCCAAGTGTGTGCTTTCCCAAGAAAAGGGAATAGGCTTTCATAACGCAAACACAATGCCACACCACTTCTCAAGATGTTAGCTTTTCTGTTTCTATTCTTCTCTCATGCAATTAAGCAAATAAAAATGACTACATCTATTGTATTGTAACTATAATGCAACACAAATGCAAGTTATCAATACAAACTTGTCAATCTGCATACATCGAGATTGACCTCTTTTCTGATTGGCTGCCAAGTTTCATTCATATCCATTCACGAGAAGCGGTGTGAGAGCGAGTTGAGGACAACAACCATTGCATTAGTATTAGTTCGTCCCACGAAACACCCCTGCTGCGGGGGCCAAAAAATTGGCAGAACAAAAGGCGCTCGGAGGACATTGTTAATTTCCTTCAAAGTTTCGAGCACCCGCTTCAATCAATTATATTTAGAAGTCATTTAAAAATGGGTTTGTTTTTTTAATTGCAATTTTGGGTCATGTTTTTTAATATTTTCTTCATTTTTTTTCAAATATTTATTTGTCTGACTTTAAATTACTCTTCTCCTTTATTTTCATCTGAACAGCTTTATAATTTTATACAATGTACATCCATAGGTGACCTGTACTGAAACAGAGCCCTTTTTGAGGATAATAAAAGAATAAAATTACACAATCAGTGTTTTTGCTGGGAATTTGGAGATTTTTTTGCTATTTATCCATGTACATATTTCCAGAGTCCACAATTTTTTTTCATAATCGTAATATTACAAATCTGGCGTGATTTGTTCATTACTTATGTGTTGTAGTTTGTACTTGCTAAAAATGAAAGCCAACAGACGAAAACTAAGAGAAAGATAGCTTTTGAAATTTGATGAAATTATCCAATATGGCGGATGTTTGCTTGGTTACCATGGTTACCATGTGCTATAATAATAAATAATTACTTGAATGTATTCTTTGAATATGACTAATATGAATATCATCGTTGCTATAGATATATGTAGTCAAGGAATATAGATTTTATAAATTTCACCAGCAGATGGCCTTAGTACAGAGTTAGCCTAGCCGTCTAGCTGTACTTTAAAGTTTGGCTCACCAAACAGTCTAGTCGTACTTATATTAGGCCCTATTACTTTTAGAAACCTGACGAGTACACAGATCTCATTAGTAATTATTCAGGTTTAAAATACATGCACTGTCAGTGAGGCACCTTTTGGTTTCGTCTCAAATAACACAAATACAAACAAGCGGATAGCTAGAGAACAACAACTAATACGCCATTGGCCGATATTTACAGTCAGCTTGCTTTATGTTATTGAAGGATTCCCACTTTGACAGTCATGGTGGCAACACAACAGCACGACAGCAGCCTGCAGACTCGGATTATTTTCTTTGCAACTTGCAGAACTGTTCGATTCGGTCGTCTGTGATTGTGCAGCACCATTCTTCCGCCCATATTGATTCTAATGCTGTTCACTACATAAACTGAGAAGAAGTCTAAGAGTAGGCCTACGTACGAAAGCAAGTTCAAACAAAGTTCAACGACGCAGTGCAAATGATCGACCGTTTCGATCCGGATCGTTTCTTTTAAAGTTATGTAAGCACAAGAAATTGGACACTTACAAGAGATTGGACTCAACAGGACGCTGAGCTGCAAATGGAGTAGATATTATTGGAGACAGCAATGTTTGCAAATGGATACTCCGAGGTGCAAAAGCAATGTATACTTCTTGGGGGAACCACTGGGAAAGTCAAAGAGGGAAGCTTGGAAACTGCCAGTGCAAACAGTGTGCTACACAAAATCATTACTATTTTTAGAATCACGATCAGATGACACGGCGGGCATCCCCCTTGCCAGGTCAAACAAGATCGTTGTTACTATAAATATCGGCCAATAGCATAAATTTAGTCTAGTTTTTGTCGTTCTCTAGCCATCCGCTTGAACAAGTATACAATTTTATACTTTAAATAGGTAAATGGTTAACCAAAAATTTTCACTCCCACACACAGATGCACTGCTTCAGGGGGTCAAACTGCAGTACTGCCATTAAAACTGTCTCAAATCAATTATTTTCAAGAAAATTTCAAATCTAACTGTAAAATATCAAATTATGGATTAAAACAGGGGGGTATGCCTCTTGTAACCCCCCAGATTTTCTTTTACCCCAGTGGGGCAGCCCTGGATCCCCCGATTGGTCCAAAGAACCTCTAGAATCTATCTCTATTAATAAAAGAACAATGTATTCAGATATATTTCAAAAACTATTAACTTCTGACAGAAATGAAGTTGATATTCAGTAGGCCTATTTTTGACTGTTTGTCAGTCTAGCCATCATATAGGAGGAGCCTACAGCTAACCCAGCCGTCTTTCAGTTCGGCTATTCGAGAGAATAACGACAGCCAAAGTTAACCATACATTTGGGCAATCTGGAATATAAAAAGCTTGCGCAATCACAAGATACTAGACTAGTGTATACAGACCCGGTAACCGGGAACTAAGTCACGAAGTATACAGACCCGGTAGGGGAACTCTTTTGTGATTTTGGAAAGTTTCAGCGCCCAGACCCGGAGGTGTGTGTGTGTGTGTGTGTGTGTGTGTGTGTGTATGTGTGTGTGCGTGCGTGCGTGCGTGCGTGCGTGTGTGAGAGAGAGAGAGAGTGGGGGGAAGTGCTATGCTAGCAAAATGTATGACACACCCCAGTTGGCAGGAGAGAAAGATAGAGTGGGAAATAGGTGGGGAGAAAGAAAGACTGAGACAAACAAAGAAAAAGAGAATGCGAGTGATACAGAGACAGGGGAGAGAGAGAGAGAGAGAGAG